CCACCAGCATTGATCACAGCATACATAAAGTAACCTGCGATGATCTTTGGGTCATTGTTTGTTTTGTAAGCTTCAAGCCATATCATCTTTCTAGAAAACCCATCGATGCATCCACTCCGATTCCGATTCCAAATGGCTTAAGCTTGTTGTAGCCAAACATAGTTTGGACCACAGCTGTGGTAAACACGTCTTCGTAGTCTGTTTCTTGACCTCAGATCAACACCTTCACCATCCAATAACTGTAGCAATGTTCGAACTGTTTCTCTGTCAGTCACAATTCCATGTAACCAACGTTTTTGGTGCATCCATCTATAACCATGAGACTGACCAGATGTTTCCAGTTGTTGTTCAATGAAGGTTTCCACATCAGCCACATCGGTTTTATTCTTTCTATGCCACAGTTGCTTCTTGCTTAAAATCCTTTCAGGGGTTCTTAGTACAATCCCATGTGAATCAGACAGCAAATTAAGTATTTCATCTGTTGTAAAGCCACGTTTAAAGTAGTCTTCAGTGTACTCACAATCCACTTCTGTGTCAAATATGAGAACTGAAAGAGCTGCTACTTTGTTTACTATCTCATAATTATGACTTAGTATCTCATAATTATGACTTACTATCTCGTAATTTCGACTTAATATCTCATAATTATGACTTAGAATCTCATGATTTTGACTTACTATCTCATAATTATGACTTACTATCTCATAATTATGACTTAGTATCTCATAATTTCGATTTACAATCTCATAATTTCGATTTACTATCTCATAATTATGACTTAGAATCTCATGATTTCGACTTACTATCTCATAATTTCGACTTACTATCTCATTATTATGACTTAGTATCTCATAATTATGACTTACTATCTCATAATTATGACTTACTATCTCATAATTTTGACTTACTATCTCATAATTATGACTTAGAATCTCATGATTTCGACTTACTATCTCATAATTATGACTTACTATCTCATAATTATGACTTAGTATCTCATAATTTCGATTTACAATCTCATAATTTCGATTTACTATCTCATAATTATGACTTAGAATCTCATGATTTCGACTTACTATCTCATAATTTCGACTTACTATCTCATTATTATGACTTAGTGTCTCATAATTATGACTTACTATCTCATAATTTCGACTTAATATGATTTTTAATTTTTTAAGTTTTTATTTTATTTTTTATTTTACTTGTGGAAATGGGTTTCCATAGAGTGGGGATGAACAGAAGACTAAACTACCAGTGCCTGTAGTTTACCGCCAATTAAACAAAAGACAAAAGGCAAGTCTTGCTAACATGCATGACTCATGAGCTGAGCTAATGTAATAAGTTAGCTGAAAACAGTTAAGGCAATATCTCATGGCCATAGAGGCTAATTACTGTACTTCATGCAGGCACTACAGGTACAGTAACATTTGTGTCTAATAGTGTCATCACAATAGCCACACTGATATGCAAATTAGATGTTAACTAATTCAAATTCAACAATTTGCACACATTTAACAAGGCACTGCAGGTGAAAAGGATGAAAATAACTACTGCATATTACCACAAAACTTTCCCAGTTAATAACTTACATCAAGAGGATTTTCGTTTTTAAATGTTCTGTGTAAATATGCAGATTAGGTTGTTTAGGTTAATTTAGAAGAAATCTATAGATGCAAACAGACGGAGGGTAGCAGGCTTAAAATGAACACCATCTAAAGGTGTATTCTTCATTAGAGTGAAAGAAGACATAGAAGCAAAATAGACCACTACATGCCTTAAACAGTAACTTCATAATATTGATCGAAGGCTCCTCATCTAATCACTATCCATTCTATTAGTTTGTTGTATGCTGATAAATCCATTCACGATACAGACAGCCCTCCCTCAAATATGAAACTAAGTGCATGTCACCATCAGTAGTTGTGTGTGGGTGTTTGGGTGTGTGTGTGTGTGTGTCATAAATGTAATTAAAATAGCAACAATAAAAATAATCTATTTGATCAATACATTAATGTCTTCAGTCAATTCAGTATTCAGTTGCTTGGCTGTGTGAAACTGAAGGCTATCTTTACTCTTTTGGCATCTTGCTTTTGGATGCTTTTGGCAACAGTTATTTTAACCATGTCTGCAGCCCAATGCCACAGTTTAGTGTGAAGATCTTTGTTGATTTTATAGTGTTATGTCTTCCAACAACACCAAAAGAATTAAAATGATATATTGCCTTGTGAAAAATATACAAATTATTAATGAAACTATGTCCCTCTCCTTGGTGCTGTCATTTATTCTAAATATATACTTGAAACTAGTTGCATAGAAAACATGCACATTGTGGCATAGTTTCCTTTGCTGTTGCCTGCTCATGTGATAAACCTAGTGAATACTAAAGAAGGCCATGGTCTCTCTGTGAACTGATTATTTTGTAGAAAAGTAAAGTTGAGTAAGTTGAGTATTAAACAATTGCATGGGTGTGAGGGAATTAAAACTAATTGGAAGGACGTCAGAGTTGTGTTAATATATTTAATGTTTTGTTTAAAAAAATTAATAAATAATTATGAGAAGTGCCCTTTTTTCACTTGAGCCCCTGCCCACTAAAATGTCTGGGCATGTCCCTGGTTTTGAGTGTTCACATTAGAAAAGTGGCAATGTTAAGCATACTCTAAAACCTAGGGTCTGAGAGTGCTGTTGTACACTAATGTTCCAAAATGCAAGAAATAAAAAAGCTACTAACATAACTAAAATATCAATAAATTGCAAATGATGGTAAGAAAGCTACTGAATCTTCTGTTAAAAACAACAACAAATTGTTAATTCCAGTTTGTGCGGGAAAAAAATTGTTGTTTAAGGTCCATTTACTCGACAGCTGAGCAAAACTCCATTCCCTGAAGTATACCATAAGGTGTAGTTGAAAGGTTCCATAAAATGTTTAGTAAGTGCACCTTGAACTAAGTATTTTGTAAACAAAAATAAACAAACATTTTGGTTTCTCTTTGAAACCAAATTTAATAGTAAACCATCCAAAAGTTGTTGAGAAATTTCACTCAAAACCACAAATGTGACTCTAAGCGTGGCATCAGAGGAAAAGTCAGGGATCACCAACGTTATTGGGAATACAGGTGCTGGTCATATAATTAGAATATCATCAAAAAGTTGATTTATTTCAGTAATTCCATTCAAAAAGTGAAACTTGGATATTATATATCATTACACACAGACTGATATATTTCAAATATTTATTTCATTTAATTGTGATGATTAAAACTGACAACTAATCAAAATCCCAAATTCAGTATCTCCGAAAATTAGAATATTACTTAAGACCAATACAAAAAAAGGATTTTTAGAAATGTTGTCCAACTGAAAAGTATGAAACATGAAAAGTATGAGCATGTACAGCACTCAATACTTAATTGGGGCTCCTTTTGCCTGAATTACTGCAGCAATGCGGCGTGGCATGGAGTCCATCAGTCTGTGGCACTGCTCAGGTGTTATGAGAGCCCAGGTTGCTCTGATAGTGGCCTTCAGCTCTTCTGCATTGTTGGGTCTGGCGTATCACATCTTCCTCTTCACAATACCCCATAGATTTTCTATAGGGTTAAGGTCAGGCCAGTTTGCTGGCCAATTAAGAACAGGGATACCATGGTCCTTAAACCAGGTACTGGCAGCTTTGGCACTGTTTGCAGGTGCCAAGTCCTGTTGGAAACTGAAATCTGCATCTCCATAAAGTTGGTCAGCAGCAGGAAGCATGAAGTGCTCTAAAACTTCCTGGTAGATGGCTGCGTTGACCTTGGAGCTCAGAAAACACAGTGGACCAACACCAGCAGATGACATGGCACCCCAAACCATCACTGACTGTGGAAACTTTACACTGGACTTCAAGCAACGTGGATTCTGTGCCTCTCCTCTCTTCCTCCAGACTCTGGGACCTTGATTTCCAAAGGAAATGACATAACTTTGGACCACTCAGCAGCAGTCCAGTCCTTTTTGTCTTTAGCCCAGGCGAGACGCTTCTGACGCTGTGTCTTGTTCAAGAGTGGCTTGACACAAGGAATGCAACAGCTGAAACCCATGTCAGCGCATGGTGGTTCTTGAAGCACTGACTCCAGCTGCAGTCCACTCTTTGTGAATCTCCCCCACATTTTTGAATGGGTTTTGTTTCACAATCCTCTCCAGGGTGCGGTTATCTCTATGGCTTGTACATTTTTTTCTACCACATCTTTTCCTTCCCTTCGCCTCTCTATTAATGTGCTTGGACACAGAGCTCTGTGAACAGCCAGCCTCTTTAGCAGTGACCTTTTGTGTCTTGCCCTCCTTGTGCAAGGTGTCAATGGTCGTCTTTTGGACTGCTGTCAAGTCAGCAGTCTTCCCCATGATTGTGTAGCCTACAGAACTAGACTGAGAGACCATTTAAAGGCCTTTGCAGGTGTTTTGCGTTAATTAGCTGATTAGAGTGTGGCACCAGGTGTCTTCAATATTGAACCTTTTCACAATATTCTAATTTTGTTTTGAGATACTGATTTGGTTTTCATTAGTTGTTGTTATAATCATCAAAATTAAAAGGAATGTACACTTGAAATATATCAGTCAATGAATGTATACATTATGCAATTTTCACTTTTTGAATGGAATTACTGAAATAAATCAACTTTTTGATGATATTCTAATGATATGACCAGCACCTGTACATTGTCAAAGCACCAAGTACTGCTGTACCAAATGTCATGAAATCCATCCTATGGTTGTTGAGATATTTCACAAAAAACGAAAAAGGTCAAGCTTATAGTGGATTTAGAGGAAAGGTCACAGATCACAAACTGTGGCAAACTGAAAAACCAAAAGCAAACTAAATAAAGAGAATTAAAGGCAGCACAAGAAAAGAGAATTGCATCTTTGTTTGTTAGTGTGATTAATGTTGCATGTTTTACCCGCTATATCTCTTTAATAGAACCTCTCAAAAACATCACATACATCCTGTTTCACTGAAGTGAGTAATTTCCTGTTCCAGTTTTGTGCATTTCAACCACAGCGTCTGTGGCTTCACTTGTGGCGTTTTATCGTTTGAAACATGGGGAGCATGGTGGAGATGTTACTGTGGGCCTGGATTATTCTGGACTCGGGGGGGTATTCAGTCTCACTGCTAGAAATCACTGATGAGAAGTTTATTGATGAATGTGTGAAGGAACATAACTGGGCACGATCATCTGTCAAGCCACCTTCAAGTGACATGCTGTACATGGTAAGATTTATGGGTATTTCCATTTCTCAGTTATTTCCTCATCATCATAAAGCAATGACTAGTAATAAAACAACCTCACCAACAACGCAGTGGGTCAGCAAAATAATATGAACATCTCTGTGTAAGGACTTAAAACAATGAAGCAACATATCAAAATGTCATAGCGTTGTGCAGTAATGTAAAGGAGATTATTTTGTTTTTGTTGGTTTTAGAGAAGTACAGTAGTGGCCTTTAATCCCTGGACCAACCAGGAAATAAATGCTAATGATACTTTGCTAACCAACAGCTTGTCTGCTGGGAAAAGTAGATGTTTAAAGGGTAAGGTCACCAAAATTACAAAACAAAGCTTGGTTTTAAATGAAATTTCAGTTTGTGCCGTAAAGTCTGGCTCACACCGGCATAATAAATCCCAATGTTTCATCGTGAAGTTGATTTATTTCAATGAAATGTATGTTATCAGCAGTTTCGCTTGCAGGGGCAAAGTAAATCTGCACAAATCTTTAGCGTGACATATGAATTTGCCCCGTTGACCAACAGCAAATATCTTGAAAATGCAGATGTTTGAGGGAACAAAGAGCTGAAGACTCAAGAAAAATAGAGAAAAGCTATCTTAGCTTCCTAGTTGTATAGCACCATTAAGTTTAATTCGACCCTCCTCTGTTCACAGAAGAAGCATGAATTTATGAGACAGGAATCAATGGTACACTTCACAAGCTTGCTAACTGACTGCTATCAAGCAACCTAGCTCCCTCGGAAAGCTTTTTTAAAAATTTTATTAAATTTTATCTCTGCTCGTTCAGACATGGGATGAAGGCTTGGCCATTACTTCGAGAGCATGGGCAAGACACTGTGTGTTTGAACACAACATCTACCTCAAAGAGGTCCGCCGCGTGCACCCTACCTTCCCTTCAGTAGGAGAGAACATATGGGTAGGCTCCCCACCATCATCATTTAACGTGAAGGCGGCCATAAAAAGTTGGGTGGATGAAAAACAACACTATGACTACAAAAGCCAGACATGTAACAAAGTCTGTGGCCACTACACACAGGTGTGTGCACTTTTTACTGCTTTTACATTACAACAATGTACTTTTTCTCTGTTCCCTGTTTGTGTTAAAATCACACAGGCTTGAAGATACGAGGGCTAATAAGGGGAACTGCTAAACATGTTTCATATTCTGATCTGCATTGCACAATTTAACCCTTTTGTTTTACTCCAGGTTGTGTGGGCAAGCAGCTACAAAGTTGGGTGTGCCGCTCAACTGTGCAAAAATGGTGTCAGGAACTTTCATGATGGAGAGAGCGTTATTTTTGTATGCAACTATGCTAGAGCGTAAGTTGAACACATCTAAAAATACACTACAACTCTGAGTTCATGACTTAGAAAATCACACAACTCAAACAGCTCCAACAATGTAGGATCATAGAAAAAAGTTGTCTTTTTTGCCAATTAAATGTTCTCTGTATACCTTATTTGTTAATATTTCCCTGCTGGTGTATCAGGTAGGGTTAAAAGTTAGTCAAGGTTTCAGTTTCATTTCATGTAATTTCAAAATAAAAAGAGAGAGAGAGAGAAAAAAAAGGAAGTGGCATACCTCTAAATACATTCACCTCAACCACTTTGCAAGGTTCAGCACATGAAAACACAAGGCCACACAAGGTTCTTCTTAGTATCAACAAATTGCATGATGAAACCTAAACCAACAATGAATGGATACTACTGATAAGCAGTGGTGGAATCTAACAGGATATAAAGTACATTTATTCACTTTGAAGTTTTGCTTTTGATACTTATGATACAATTTAGGTGATAAATCTTACATCCTTTTACTTAAGTATTGTTTTGAATGCAGGTATTTTACTTGTAATGGAGTATTTTCACAGAGTGTTATTGCTACTTTTAAGTTAAGTATCTGAATATTTCTTCTGCCACTACGAATTAATATTTTGTGTATGTATCTTCAGATTTATTTACACTTCTTATTACACTGTGCCAAAGAGCTACATTATTGTCCAAAACACATCAGTGAGCCCCACTGTTGCATTGGGTGACGTGTGCCATCACTGCCATGAGCACACACTTGTTTATTTTGACTCAGTCCTACATCCTCTGTTGCCATGAATACTCACTACAGCTCCAAATATGTAGTAACCTACTAATGAAAACAGCCCCAACAAATAGAGTAGTTCCTACTGATTAAGTAATTGGCCTTTTCATGGGGAATGTTGACAATATATGAACATAGAATAATGTCATTCTCATCCTTTCAGCTCCGCTTTTTAGATCACCACATTTTAAAGCAAATAATGCGACAAATACAGGTGCACTGTCAACATTTGAAAAAATGAAAGTAGGGAGATGAGAGGATGGGAAATTCACAGAAAAGATGACCCCAGAATGAACAAACACGTGCTACCTAAAACATGGGTCGCTATTTTAACTTTGATGATGGTTCCTGGTGCAGGGGTAATGTGAACGGAAGGCGACCATATGAAACTCAGGGGGCAGCCTGCTCTGGATGTAAAGACACCTGTGAGGAGAATCTCTGCCGTGAGTATATATTCAGTCCCCTTTTTTGATGCAAAAACTAATTTATATCCTGGACTTGGAATTAAGTTGAAGTCTAAGACATTGCTAAAATGTTTGGCCAAAACAATGCTTTTGTCTGTAATTTTCACCCAAACCACATTTTATTTCTTTGCTTTTTGTGACATTCTGACAGTTTCAAGACCAGTTGAAAACTACAAATTAAAAAACAACTGAGAAATGTGTATTTAAATCTGCTGAAGTGGATGTCAAAACAAGAAAAAAGTGTAGCCATCTCTAATGTGTCTTCATGTCTTTACAGGTAACCAAGAACGAGATACACAGAAAAGTGAGTGACAGAAAGCAGGAACATACTGTTTCAAATCCTACTGGGTTATAGAATATAAAAAAAAGTTCTGTTGTCAAACAGGGTGTTAGTGAAGAAGTGATCAATATTTTCCATGGAAATCACCTGTCCAACTTCTTTCATTTTTCCAGGCTACAACTGGACCCCAGACTGGGATCCAGTTACTGGGAGCCCGGCTACTTCGGACTCCAACTACGTGTCTATTCTGGTCGCCCGTCCCATCGGCATAATCTTCACCTTCATCACAGCATATGCAGTCCACCACTTTTACCCCGATGTCTTCTTTTATGAATAGACTGTGATGACCTGAAGGACATGTACTTATTCAGTCAGTATTATGATAAAGATTCAAGTTTAATTCAACCTTTTTTTTTTTTTGTCTATAGACAGCTTTCAGGTCCCAGCAGAGCCGTACATAAACTGTGAAAAAGTACACACATCCTGTTTGTAAAGCCACAAGTGACACAGCAGTTTTAAACCATCAGACAGATGGTGAGAGAAAACTCAAGGGAACAAAATGTCCACTGAGATTGTCATTTTACTGCTGTGGCGTACAAGTTAAAGCTGCACAAGTCATTTTTTTAATATATAAATTAAAATCAAAGTCAAATTACAAACATTAAATGTAAAAGCAGTTACTCATGGTGATGAACCCACAACTCTGCAGTTTCCCCTAGCTCTACGGAGCGTTTAGCACATTTCAGCAAATTGTCTTGGTTTTATGGCTGACAGTGTTACGGTTCTGGTTCAGTCAGGATTTTATAAATGTTTATAAAAACTGTATACCTAAATACCACACTGACGTAGGTATTCAGACTCATTATACAGTACTTAATTAAAGCACCTTTAGTGGCAATTACAGCCTTGAGTCTTCTTGGGTATGATGTGACAAGTTGTAGGTGTCCTTCTTATCCCAAATGAGTGTCTAGGATAGAGGGAGCCTAAAGCTTCAAAGTGTGACGAAATTATAGGGCTATAAAGACAAAATTGCCGTGACTAGCCTTCCCCAGATCTTTGCTTCAACACTAACCTGCCTCTGAGGGCTGGAGGCCGTTCCTCTGACCTCATGGCTTGGCTTTTGCTCTGATATGCATCGTCAGCTGTGGAACCTTATATAGTGGCTTTCCAATCCATATATCAATTGAATTTACCACACCACAGGTGGACTCCAATCAAGTCAAAGATTATTGTTTTATAATCATTAACATTACCATTGTTACCATTAACACTATTATAAATATCTGTACCATTATTCATTTAGTCTATAGCAACATCACCTTCACTGTCTGTACCTCTGTGTGTATATTGTGTAGGCTGCACCCCCCCCCCCCCCCCCCCCTCTCTCTCCCCTTCACCCCCAACCGCCCACCCTGAGCCATGGTTCTGCTCGAGGTTTCTGCCTCTTAAAAGGAAGTTTTTCCTTGCCTCTGTCTCCTAGTGCTGCTCTTGGTGGGAACTGTTGGGCTTCTGTAAATAGCATCACAGAGTACGGTCTAGACCTGCTCTTTTATGAAAAGCGCTGAGAGATAACTGTTTTTTGTGATTTGGCGCTATATAAATAAAATTGAAGTGAAAATTGAAATTGAAATGAAGAGTGAAGTAGTTTAGTGATCACTGACTTGTGGAAAAGGAATTCAAGTTGATACATTTGTTAAAAAAATTCTTCAATAAACCATGAAGAACTGAATTGAAAGATCTCTGTCAGTGCTTTTTCCTTGAGTGGTGAGTCGCAAAAACCTCCTCCAAACAGACAACCGTAAGAAGTAGAAAACGAGTAAGAGTCGGCTTAAACAAGTCACTAAACTACAAGCAAGCAACGGAAAAGATTTACATCTGATTTAAGCAGCCGGAGGCTCCGTGAGTAAAATCAGCGGATCTTTGCAATGAAATCAATGTGAACAGGAGGATAACATTAACCTTTATTTTCATTCTCATTCTCATAAATGTGGAGTCTGCTATGAACTTGTGTCATGAGATATTGTTAAATCACTATACTGTACCTCTACAACAAAGCTGCTGGGAAAATCTTTCCTTGACCTAAAGGAATTAAGGCAAACCTACAAAAACATTTTGTTAAAAATCTACCTTTAATTTTACATTTTAATTTTTTTCTGCCTTCTCCTGAACACACATCAGTCTAAACATAAATACTGGCCACTCAAAATCTGGACAGTCTATCAAAACAGAAGAGGAAAATGAACCTCACTCACAGGCGGTCTGTTCATCTCTGACTGAGAATTGGTCTCCAGATAGAAGGAAATTATACAATGTAATATATGAACAGGAAATCCTCCCAACAAAAGGAGTTCAATATAAACTTCCATGACAGTTTGTGATGGAATTAATTTTGATCCCAGCACACACACACACTGGATGTCTGATGTCACATCTTCCTGAGTCCTTTTTTGTCCAACATGACTGGCCAACACATACCATATCACATGGTACACATGACAACAGCCTGTGGTTAGCCTTTGTTTTTTGTTTTGTTCTTTTTCTTTCTGTTGGTGTTGCTGCTGGTGGGAGGAGCTGGGTTCACTGGTGGAGCGCCTAGTTTCTTGGTTTTTGCTTTTTTCACTTTCTCTTTAATGGCTTCGATGTCCAGCTTTCCTTCTGTAGGAGCTGTGATGGAGAAAAGGTCAACAAGGGTGAGATAGAGGTTAGCTGTACTCTCACAGTGCACAGTTTCAAACTTTTTTGCTTTGGTTTGTTCTTTCATTTCTACCTTTAGTGGTTTTCTTCATTAAAGGCTTCTCTTTGGGAGGAATGAAAGCTTTGTTCCGCTCTTCCTGCTTCTTGTCAGTGCCTCTGTTTGTTTCACCTGAGAAAGAGTAACAATGACAATCACACAATTGCCAGTTCTCAAAATGTGATGCAACTCTTCCACTTCCTTCCATTTTAGGGTGAGTTTCAGCAGTATTTCAGACAACATACAAAATGTGGCCTCTTGTCATATATGTGGCCTAGATAGTCATATAAACAGACACTACAGCCCAGCAGGAGATGAATCCAGTGCTCACCTTGATCGCTTCCATCTTCTTCCTCTTTTTCACACTTTCACGAAGGAAGAATTCTCCTGTGGCCAGCTCCTTGTCAACCTTCAAAGATTATCCACAGAGTTAAAATCAATGTCAAAATAAAGTCTCAATTTGTCCAATAACTAAAGCCTCTTTTAAATTAGATGTTATAGCTTTAGTGCTTGAACTAACGAGTGTTACTGTGATCTCCACAGAAAATATCAAGGCAGTATTTCAACGGTAAATGTTCAGATAAATGTGCAAACGTCTGACCTGGCTCTCTGGCTGTGATGGAGGGAACGGTGTATACTCCTTCTTCACACTCTTCTTCTTGGGCTCCCTGCGCTTGGCCAGGTTCTTGTGGCGGAACTTGGGCAGGAAGCGCTCCCAGCTCTGCATCCGCAGGTCGGGGTCTTTGGACAGCTCCCGTTTGATCATCAGTGTCTGAGGGTTCCAGCCGTCACAGAGTTTGGAATGGGGTGGTAGAAGTAAAAGAAATGTGATACATTATTATATATCACATTGATTCAGTGGTAATAATAAGATTTTTATTGTTAACCGAGACTGTTCAAATCTTAATAATCAAACCTGCAATTAACCTCCCAACTCCACCTTAACTGAATCCTGCCTTATAAACTGTCTGACAAAACAATTCTCTTCAGATTTTCAATGATTTTCTTGTTGTTTAAATACTGATGACAAAACTTATTTAAAAAAATTAAACCAGGGACTTCACCAACTACTCGACTAGTGGTATAGTCAACCACTAAAACTAATAACTAGAACTGCAAGTAGTTCTAAGCGGGGTCCAAGCCTCCCGGCGCAAGCCGCCACCTCGCCCCGCGCGAGTCGACCCGGGCGCTCCACCCTGGCTCGAGTTGAAATGAGCAGAGTTTGAAATGAAAGGGACTTGCAGTTACGGAGATAAAATGAATGTATGTCTATGGGAGTGTTAATTGTTATACGCTTAGTAGCTCCACCAAGAGGAGGGCGCGGCAGATAAGGTCCCCCAGTTTGGGGTGACATCCAGTTTGTTGCGTTTTGGCAAAAATTTGTTAGGTTATAATTCGGACGTTTTTTGGCGGATCAAAATTCTGTCTACAAACTTTTATCGGCTTGGTATAGAGATGCTCCGTGCCAAGTTTGGTGCCGATCAGAGTTGCCGCTTCAGAAAATTTTTTTCAGTTTTTGTGATTTAGAATCCCATTCAAATGAATCAGATTTTCCTATGGGTTTTGAGCTTCGATTATTGGCCACCTATAAGCCGAATTGCACCAAACGTTTCAGGTGTCATCAGGGGCCCATGGGAAACCATTGACCCAAATTTGGTGTCAATCGGACTCATGGTTGTAGAGATATAAAATGCATGTAAGTCAATGGGATTTTTTCTGACAACTTTAATCTGCAGTAACAGCGCCACCTATGGGCACACATGGATGAACTTAAGTCCAGGGGACCATCCTGAACAATTCTGCTCAACTTTAATGTCAATGCAACTTGTGGTTATAGAGGAACAATTTTGGGGGGTTAAATAGCGCCACCTACGGCTAGTTGCACCAAATTTTGCACAGGCCCCAGGGCATGATATGACGTAACTTCCTGTTTATAGTGTTTTGCGCAAATATTTGTTAGCATATAATTGCTACATTTTTGGTCGGATGAAAATTTCCTCTACAAACTTTCATTAGCTTGGTCCAGAGATTATCCGTACCAAGTTTGGCGATCGGACTTGCAGCTTCAGAGGAGTTTATTAAAATACATTTCGCGTTTTTGCTGGAAAATTTTTTGACAGAAATGGGCGTGGCCTATACCACGAGATTCAGGTGGATCCACCGAACATAATGTTTTTAATATGCGCCTTCGTAGGTGGGCATTCCAAACCCAAACGCGTTGACCTTGCTTATAGCGCCCCCTACAGGTAGAAGTGTGCCTTGCATCCGCAGGTTCCCACTCGGGCTTGGACTCGCGGGTAATAAGAGTTTAGGCCACATCACCACTAGCTGCAAGAGTACTCCTATTTAGCATTGCACTCCTGTAAATTAGCACTCACAAAGGAGAGTTTAAAAAAAGACCAAAGTCAATGCAACAGAAGCAGAAATATTCTTTCCTTGTCAAACCTACATAACCCACAATGCAACACAACCACGGCAGTTGGTTTGGGGATTTGGTTGTGTTATGCTAGTAGCCTCTAACTAGCTGCTTAGCTGATGTAGATGCCATGACACTTGTGAAACAGAATGCCTGCTACAGAGCATCTGTGAGTCCTTCATGCCCTCAGCTCCAGGTCAAGCCAGCCTTGGCGTACAAACCCAGAGAGACATATTTCAGTCAGGAGATCAAGAACAAGGATGGAAAACCTCTTCATTGGGCATGAATGCAGTCTGTCCAAACATCTCAGTCTTTCCTGTGATATTGCTTTTGAGCTGCCTCACCTGTCAGCAGACTGAACGTACCTTGATGTTGTAGATTGGGTGAATGTTCTTCATTGTGTCCATCACTACTTTGCGTACCTGAACAACAGAGAAAGAGACATGAAACAATCCTGTGTTATTTGTTTAAAACTTTATTCTGATTTGAGACGCCAGGCTTAAAATATTTGATTATTAAAAGGAAATAAAAATGTAATTGATTGAAAAAAATATACTAAGAATGTAATAATTTAAGAAATTCTTTAAAAAAAAATTAAAAAATTAACCATTTTATTTAAACATACCCTTTTTCAAAAGTCTTTATTTCACAATAGTATTTTCCCTGGCTGCTGTCATAATTAAAATAATTTCATGTCTCTTTTCTTGACAGTGGTGTTGTTAACGTCTGGTGTCGTCTCGGTCTGTTAGTTTATGTTTTTGTGTAACTTTCAATGTCACACAATAACAAACTAACTAACCAATCAAAGCAGCGGTAAACCGGAGAGGTAATATATATGTTTTTGTCAATGGAGTCTGGTGGTTTGACAAGAATATAGTGACGGTTTCTGGTTAAACAATAAGGATCTTACTCTTTCAAAAAAAAAAAAAAAAAAAAAAAAACAACCTGAGAAACAAGCACTTTAGTGGACGTACTTTGACAGGGCGCAACTAGAGACCTGCGCGGGACCGTTTTCTTGATCCCGCTGATTTTGTGATCAACATGTGTGTTACTCCACCACCCATTCCCGCAAACATTGTGACATGCAGAGTAAAAAAGGACACAAATGTTTGGGTTATGCTAAACGCTAGTGTGACGGAAACCAGCGAAGCTTTGCAGTGAGTAAACCTCACTCGCCCACAGTATGTTTTTTTAACCACCCGCTCTCATCTGCGGCACAGTTAAAACCGCCCATTCCCGCAAACATTGTGACATGCAGAGTAAAAAAAGGACACAAATGTTTGGGTTATGCTAAACGCTAGTGTGACGGAAACCAGCGAGGCTTTGCAGTGAGTAAACCTCACTCGCCCACAGTATGTTTTTTTTAACCACCCACTTCCACCTGCACACAAGGGTTACGTTGCATGCCTGTCTGGCTGCTGCCGACTGCAGCACGCTCGCTCAATACTGGAACCAATTTCAAAAAATGCTGTCCTAATAGTCACAGAGAATGTAGGAAAATAACATCCAAAATATCACAGTTAGCTTTTACAGGGCAGGGGGTATGGGATTTGCTGAAAGGTGAGAGGGTAGTGACTACACCACAGGCAGGAAAGGTGCCATGAAATAAATGTTTGTCTTTCGATCCCCTGCTACTATTTGCTGCTGCAACTAGCCAGATTTCCCAACAGGGATCATTAGGGATCCATCTCACCTCTAGCTGAGCTCAACGAAGACCAAACATGAGGGGAGTTTGTGTTGTTCGTGTTACACCTCAGTACAGGCAGCAGAGAAGATACACAGTATTCACAGAACAGCAGGGTCACATTTCTGATGTTCTCTGTGTGAACACATTTTCATGGGTAGAATTCCTCTTATAATGATTAAATGTTAATTTTCAGTTTTCTGTTTGGTCACGGTGAACTGTGTTTACACTGGTTGGTTTTGCTTCATGATCACCTGCTGCAGGTCAGTTTCTCCACCCTTTATATTTACCATTTTAACTCCTGACCATTTCTTACCTCCTTTAGGCCGTTGTAGGGCCCCAGGGCCGATACCGTGTTGCCCTGCACCATCACATAGCAGTTGGTCAACAACTCTAATGCCTGGAGAAAAGGGAGAGGAAAGCAAAGCGTTTAACTCAAACTTAAAAAGAAATGATCTGATAATAGTGCTGCTATACTGTTCCAATGAGAAAAAGGCTTAGATACTGCGGCTGATTAAAGGCAATGCTGCCACCTAATGTCATTCATCCCAAAATGCACCATAGCAGACAGACCAGTGAGCATACATATTTTCACTCCTCTTATTACACAGCTTTACAATGTCAGAGTTTGGAAAGAATTCAGTTAAATTCTTGAAAATATTTTGACTTTATTCTCAAAAACTTTGATTTCCACCATTCGAGTTGACTGTCGATTAAAAAGAATATAGAACTCAGCATCTGAAAGAGCAAAAACAACTTGAGCTTGCAGATTTGTTCGTTTCCCAGGTTATGGGATTGTAAGACTTGAGTCTTGATTTGTAAAGATCAACAGATCATTTGTTTTATGCCATGACAACTGTCATTTACACATAGCCTGCATGGTACGTGTGATGTAACCACCATATTTTGTGTTGGAATGTTACCAGAGGAAACCCTGAACTAGCTAAATAACCATGATGACGGTGGACAGCGAGGGACAATCCATGAACTGCGACACATCTCTGACTCTGAAAAGTGCCGCTGCAGGCTACCGGCCATCTTCTTTGAACATGTGCCAAACACGCACAAGTAGGTAGGAGTGGAGATTGGTGATTGTCCCAGAATTTTCCTATCATTTTGATCTATCTGCTATTTAGAATTGAAAATGTGACACCACTATTATTAATGTCACATTTCACATGTGATGTGATTGGAGAAGGATCTTCATTAAATTAATAGCCTATTGCTTTAATTACATTCCTTGATATCAGGCAGAAATGTTCTCATGCTTATAATTATGCATTTCTAGTGTACATCTCCCATCTTTCTCACTTATCCTCTTTATTTATCCCACAAATGTGCCTACTACAATTTAGCTGCAAAACTTTCAAGACTGACAGACTGAATGATGTTTGTGCTCCGGCACAATGTACTGAAACACGCTTCGTACGGTTCACAGAAGTGAAACAAACATTGTGGCTTTGGTATCATCCGCCCCTCTCTAGATAACAGTTAAAAGCTCCATTGATTTTCATGTATTCCAAATCCTGCAGGTGTGTGACCTGCATTAAACTGTGTTTTCATGGGTCATTTGGGACCCCAGTCAGCCTTATTAGGGAGGTAGGTTACCTGTGGTAACAGTGAACATATCAAACAAACAACAATGTAAAAAAGCAGTATGTCTGAGATGACTGCTGCTTCCCAGCAGGTTGAGATGTGTTGGATGAAAGCTGGATTTTGGTGTGGGACTCACTTTTAGGGTGGAGCCCTTGGGGCCAATCAGCCGCTGTCTTCTCTTCACAAACCGCTCTCTGTTCCTCACCAGGGTCCCGATTTTGATGATGTCACACGCCACGTCATCCTCTAATATCCGCACAGCCTGGAAGCAAAAACATAGTCAGAAATCAGCATCACTCGTGTTTGCTCCTACTGTCATCAAAAGTTTGTGTTTTTTTTTTTTTTTTAAGACACAAAACTCATATGGCCTGTGCTGCAAGATATGGGTTGGGGGGCATGTGAACAAGACACAGACAACAAGACCACTGCCCCACATGACAGCAGTGTCCTGTATGTGAGCACTGTGATCATTACCTGTTCGAATGGGACACTCCTGGCCAGCAGCTTGATGAGATCTCTGGCTCTCACAATGGCGTAAGGGTCAAAAGTTCTCTTAGTGGTGCAAACTGTGATGCTTCCCTCTATCAGATCCAGAGAGGCTTTGATGTGCTGAGAAGAACAAAACTCCATGTTAAATGAAATGGGAACTCCCCAAGGTGATTAATAGAAGCCTAAATTGCACACTACAGGTCTGCAATCCAGTCTGACGTTGCCCGAAGGTAGGGAAGTAACCCAGCCAGGTTCACGCTCATGTGTGTAAAAATAGAGTAGAGTTTGTTTAAATGTGTAACCTACAATAATTACTAGGGGTGGGGGGGATCAGTACAGCCTAGTATCGCGATATTTTCCGTGGCAATACTGTTTCCATACACAGAGCCCAAGTATCGATCTTTTATTATATAAATTGTACATGAGAATTTTACTTTTTTGGTATATAATAAAACCTATTGTTTTTTCAGTCCACTAAAAAACGAGACAATTTAAAGTTGGAAAAAAGTAATAAATTCCAATACATCGCATGTTTAAAATCGCAAAATCGTGTCGTGATAATATCGTATTGAGGGGCCTATGGTGATTCCTACCCCTATTGATTATAGTGAATATTTTCCTTCATTTCACATTGACCACCCTGCAGCAACAATATTATTATAATTATTAATTGATGAGAAACTGAACTGCTAAAGTCTTTATCAAGTAAAAATGTTAAATATTTTCTGATAGATTCTTAATCGTAAGGATTTCTTTGCTTTTCTGCTTTAAATCATCATAAATTTTATATGTTTTAATAGGTAATTAGTAGTTTATGACATACAAATCGCTAAATTAACTAAGTTTAATTAATTGACTTGCCTGCACCAGCAGATTTATAGACTTGCATTGTTCTCCTGATTACTAAAATAAGTCTTCCATCCTCAACCACCCAAAAATCTGTTTTCAGAAGTTAATTTAGGTTTGTTCCGCTGCACTGATGAGCAGTATTTTGTTAGAATTATGTCACAATCTGAAATTTACAGCATAACCACCCAAAAGATTTTTGAAATCAATTAATAAAAAAATGTATCTAAGCCTTACTCATCATAGTTACTGGCTAAAATAGCCACGTATGTTAGATTGGAGTGTGCATGGAATAATCTAATTATACGTGCTCTCTAAATATACTGCCATAGGCCACAGAAAAACATCTGATTGGTCGACCACTACTTTTTGTTTCAGGGAAAATCCTGTCCTGAATCATTGAACTTACTGCCTCTCCTAAGGCCTTCTCCACGAGCGGCCAGCACTCCTTCAGGTAGGCTTCTCTGTATTTGGGGAAGAGGGTGGCGAAGCTGCTCTCTTCAAGCAGACCAAGCGGGTTGTCTTCTTTGCTGAAGCCTGGCTCTTTCCATCCATCGGGAACAGTCAGGAGTTCAGATTCATCCACTGCATGACACAGACACCAAACCATGGAATGTTTGACATACAACCTCTGTACCAATGTCAGGCACACAGTTTTTCCACATGTCCAATACGCCAGCACCCTGTGTTGTATTTTGCTTGCTTAGGAGTGACCCCTATAGGACAATGTGGTGCACTACAGCCTGATGAACAGAGAAAGATTATAAATGTAGGGCTCGGGGGGAACAGCGGTGGAGGGTAGCTAAAAGTAGCAATCTTCTATTCAAGACTCGTATTTTTCCCCCTACGTTTAAAAAGAGATGGAAAAGAGGTCATATAAGTGTGATGTCCAAAAATCTGTATGTTAGCAATGTCTGAATACAGCAATGCAGCGAGTATGATAACAAGGATGTACAAGGAAAGACAACACAGGGATTCATTTACGCCCGTGCTAAGTTTTAGAAGAAGTAATTTAGTTTAAGTAATTGTCTTAAGTAATTTAGTTTAACGTTACAGCTGCAGAGTTTAGGTGTGCTGTGATGTTACAGTTCTTGAAAACGCTTAACAACGAAAAGCATTACACAAATAACATAATATAAAATGTCGTTTTTTTAGCTGTGAAGTTAAAGCCACGCCAACGAGGGTGACATATTTAACAAAACATTCAACAAATGTTTACAACACACGACAGCTCAGCTCACTACTTGCTATCTCGATGCTAACGTTAATTCATGCGTGCCGTGCAACAGACATGTCAACACACCAGTTAGCCGACAAAATCCAACTGTTTCACAGTGAATGCCTCGCTGAGCGTTAATTAACAGTCTTCAACTGGGCAGCATACATAACTTACCTTGGTTTTTTGTCTTTTTCGATTTTTTGCCTGTTTGTGCTTCACTCACGCCGTCTCCTGTTGTGGAGGACGCCATTGTTGAATAGAAGCGGAAGTGACGCAGAGATTCTTCTTCGTGTGAGTTGTGCCGCGTTCCAGACCGCTCGGAACTAGGAATGTCAAAGTTGAAATATCCGACTTCCAACTTCAGAGCGTTACAGGTGCATGATGCTGAAAGTGAACGAAAACCATGACAAAGTGCACACACTTACACCCTCAGCTAGCAGTTTAACGGCAACAACTGACATCATTAGCCTATACGTTACTAGTTAATAATATTAATCTTTATTTGTAGATCAAAAACAAGTTACAAAGTGCTTTAACAAGTGTAAAGACAATAATACCCAAGAGACAATAATACAAAAACAATACAAGATAAAAGCAAGAAAACATTGAAAAGACCAAAATACACGTTTAAGATAAATATATCATAAGTAAAATAGCATAAAATAAAAGGGATAAAATGAAGTCAAATAAGATCATGAAAGGCTCTCCAATAAAAGTATGTTTTAAGAAGGGACTTAAAAGAGTTCACTGACTCAGCCGACCTGATTTCCTCGGGCAGGCTGTTCCAGAGCCTCGGGGCCCTGACAGCAAACGCTCTGTCCCCTTTAGTTTTCAGTCGAGACTCTGGAACAGACAACAGACCTCTGCCCGAGGATCTCAAGGTACGTGCTGGTGCGTATGGGACTAAAAGGTCAGAAATATAACAAGGCGAGAGGCCATGAAGAGCTTTAAAAGTGATCAATAGAATTTTAAAGTAAATTCTAAAACATACTGGGAGCCAGTGTAATGAAGCTAAAATAGGAGTAATGTGGTCATATTTCTTTGTTCTGGTTAAAAGCCTGGCAGCTGAGTTCTGGACAGTCTGGAGTCGATCAATAGATTTTTGGGTTAAACAGGTGAAAAGGCTGTTGCAATAATCCAGGAGTGATGAGATGAAGGCGTGTAAAATGGTATCGGTGTCTTTAAAGGTTAACATAGAAATATAACAACAATTTATCTAAGTTGATAAAGACATGATTGAACAAGCTTTGTGGTGTGCTGCTCAAAATTTAAAATTACTATCAAACCAAACACCAAGGTTCTTTGCAACAGGCTTAATGTGATTTACTAGGGAACCAGCCATCTGCCATCTGCTGAGACCCGATGACCAGGATTTCTGTTTTGTGTGAGTTCAGCTGGAGGAAATTATTTGACATCCATTTTTTTACTTCACAAAGGCAGTTGTTAAGTGAACTCAGCATCCCAGGGTCTGTGGATCTGACGGGCAAGTACATTTGTGTGTCATCAGCCTAAATATGAAAAGAAATACCATGTTTATGGATAATTTGTCCAAGGGGAAGCAGATAAAAGGAAAACAAAATGGGTCCCAAGACCGACCCCTGAGGCACACCATATTTAACTGGACATTTAACTGTGTACCCCCCTAGCTACAGCAGTTGGTAACCCTCAAGTCAGTCAATGTTGTAACTTAGATTACATTTCCTAATGTTTTGCCATTTTTAACAATAACGTTTATGCAGAGAAGATGACTTTGAGATTCTTTACTGTATCCAGCTACCTAATAGGCCCAACAAGGTTTGTCTTCAGGACAAACTCAGGGAAGAAATGTCCCTTGCCATACTGTGTTCCAACATATTTCTACATCAATGTACATGCAGAACAGGTTTTACTATATGATCATATATGTATTAGTTTAATTTAAATACATATACTTTTTGTTGCCTTTTAGTTTATGGTTTACTATTTACAATGTGTGCTTCCATGGGAGCTGCCATTGTTTTGTAACGTCATTCAGCTGCTACTCGTGAAGTCAGGGTACATATTTTTTCATGTAAGTATGAAATCCGACTTCAAGTGGCGTTCTAGGATAGTTTTTCTAGTTGGAGGTCGGAAATTTCCCAGTTCTGAGTTGCCTGGAACATAGCATGCTGCCGCGATGATGAAAACATTTTTTCAGTTTGTCCTTAAATCAAGATTTAACACGCAAATGAAACACGTTTAAATGCCAATGCAGGGGCGTAGCTAGCATTTTAAATACTGAGGTTGTCGCGAGTCTGAGTCCCCCCAGGCATTTGAAGTATCCTAAATAAACTGTTCATTTTGTGTAGTTCACAGGCTAACGACCTGCTTTAAAAAAAACATTTCAGCACAAAAGGATAACAGTAATAATACCCTTTTCTTTATATTCCCCTTTACTGTTTCATGGGTAGTTTCAGTGAACGGTACTCATGATGAACATAACACGCTCACAGATGGTGTAACAAACACTTTATTGCAGCCGTAGTCGTTTGTAGTAAGCCATGATTGCTTTGGTTGCACTGACTGAGAGCATGGTTACTCCCAAAAAGCCTATTGATCCAGCCACAATGGAGATTATAGTCATGTGCTCTGCCCCTGCAAAGAGATGGACACAAGTAATTACATCACTCTGTATTCAGAGTGCACATACACCTCACACTGAACTGCACATTAGACTCAAGACAATGAAAACCACAAAGTTTCAAACATGCTGCATCAAGACACGTTATCCTTAACTTGAAATGACAAAAAAAAAAAAAAAAAAAGACATTTGAAGCATAGAGATTGTAACAATAAAAACTAAAAATACATGTAAAACTGCAATAAAGTAGTCTCTTTAAAGCCTATTTTGAAGCTGACCCCTGAAAACATCATGTGCACTGATCACGTAAAAGTAGGTCTATGAATTCTGGACTGAACATCTGTTCAGCTTCCTTGACATAAACTCACAGTAAGGCGATTGGGCTCCCGAATTCACTCTTGTGTTGACCACCAGAGGTCCAGCAGACACAACCGCAGCTTGCTTCCCCTTCCTGTCCATCTGGCTTACAGACCTCTTGGTGCGCTGCGGGCTTGTGCAATTCTATCACAAAATTTGGGTCAGTTGGAGATTTTCACTCCTCTACATTTGTCAGCTTTACTTACAGATTAAAATTTTTCATCATGAGACAAGAAACATCATGAGCTTTTAAAATATGATTTACTTTTATATTTAACAGTAGCCTGTAGAAATCAGTGAAATTGCAACCAATTACCTCAACAAACTAAATGGTAAAATGTTACTTACATTAATAATAATAATCCAATAGTAAAATATATAGTAGTATAACACTAACACAGGTGTGGTATGAGTACTTTTGATACTGTAATTATACTTTTACTTGTAATTTTCAATGCAATTACATGGAGTATTTTTACATTGCTGTAATGCAACTTCTACTTCAGTAAAAGATCTGAATACTACGGACGCCTGTGTTAAATATCACGCTCTTCAAGTAATGTGCCTAGGTTTTTGTATTTGTGTGCACCCAATAAGGCTTGCCATTACTGATCCATCGATCTCCCCGTGAAGAAAGTTAGTGTGTCTTCACAGGAGGCATGATGTGAGCAGTACGTTAGCAGTGCCAGCAGCTTCAGTCCTCTGTCTGCGTCTACACAGGATGCGTGTTCAGGCACAGTATTGTGTGTAGGTCACTTGCGTTTAAGGTAGTGCTCAGAGCACAACACACATAAAACAGAGGAAAATAGACTTGGCACTGAGTATACAATTTGGGTTTCATTTACATAAACATGCAATGCAAGTGAAACTCGAGCTGTTACACAGCATGTGGCTGAAAAACACGGCTGAAACGCCTCCAGTGTAGACATGCAGCTTTGGAACACAGTATGGCAAGGGACATTTCTTCCCCGAGTTTGTCCTGAAGACAAACCTTGGTGCTGTTGTACAGGGGTGCTTATTGTTGCCTGCAAGGAGGCCCTGCCTTAAAGCCTGAAGTCAGTGAACAAAAGTCCCACATTTGCAGTTACAGCCACAAATTGCATAAAAGACTGCAACCTGATTGGCTGCAGCCATTAACTCTGCAAGGTATGCACTGATACATATCTGTGGCTGTATCAACCTTGAGAAAAAAAAAATTATTTACCTTTGTACACTCTTCACCATGTCCACATATGTTGGCCAGGCAGTGAATGTAGAGGGGCAACCCTTTGGGCATGGTGAACATCTGAATGGAAAATCTGCTTCTCTGTGCCAGGCCATTAACAGAGAGCCAGTGGAAAGTGTAGTCAACAGGGCAGCTGGGGAGAAGAGAGGATAACATTCTTTTAAATCAGTTAAATATATTGCATATTATCAGTGGCTGGTACACTTGATAAAAATTAACATTGTGCCCTGATTTTTTGTATCTTTTTCAGGACATCCCTACTTTCATCCCCTTGAGGGTATTCTCACAACTTGATGCAAGGTACAAGGTTGAAGTCCCTTCATGCTACACACACAGAACTGAACATATCATTAAATGTATAATATTAAAATAACAGTTACATACATTTATACACATATACCCCAGAAAATTCTGCAGTGCATTATTTGAAATTATATCTGGGGAGAGCGTAAACCGCAGCAACAAGATATGGTTTCATCTTCAATTCTGACATTTAGGTGTCCATCTTGACTGTGAGCACAAATCATCATTGATGTAAAACACAGAATCCACCTCCGCTCATCTTGCCGGAGTCTTGCGTTGCCAGCTCGGAACACAGCCCGCCTTCAGAGTGCTTGATCTGGGATGCTGACTTGGATTTCCGTTGCTTGGTGAACATGAGTCCCATTTTTTCCAGACTGACCTTTAGGAGCAGCCTTAAGTCAAAGCTGGGCTAACATGGCACCTGTCCCGGCTTGCTTTCCTCTCCTCTGAGTGATCACTGCACTTGCCACTGTACATGGTCCAGTTGATTGAGCTGTGTGGATCGTGGTCCGCTGCTCTTTAATCCAAAAACCCTGTCTTTCTTTTTTCAGTGACCGTATTTCTGTCAGAGGTAGCACGTGTTTCAAAATAAAGCCGGAAAAAAACAGATGAAAACCAAAAGTGAAGTGAAAACCAGCAGTGTAGTTTGCCATAGCAACTAACTCTTTCTAGTTTCATGGAATGGTACGTAAACCACATACCTACTCCACTACTATTGGGCCAGTAATACTCAGCAGGTAACTGATTGGGTTCAGAATCAGTCTAACCCTAAAGCTAATATCTGGTTGGAAGAGTAAAACTTAGTTTGTAACTCGTGGATTACAGTGCATCACTGATGCTCAGGAGATGGGTACCAATGATCTTCTGAACAGTTTTAATCACCCGCTGCAGAGCCCTCTGGTCCTGGGCTGTGCACATCCCATGCCAGTTAGTGTTTTCAGTCAGGATGCTTTCTACTGCTCCATGGCAGGTTCTCTGTGATGCTGATTCCCAGGAACCTGACACTGTTCACGTGCTCCACCTCAGCACCACTGATGTACCATCTCCTTTTTCCTGAAATCAACGATCAGCTCCTTGATTTTGCTGACGTTGAACAGTAGGTTGTTCTGAGCACCACTCGGCAAGATAATTATATTATTATTTCCTCCCGACATGAAGTCTCATCATTGTTTGAAATTCGTCCGATGATGGTGGTGCCATCCGCAAACTTCACAACAGAGTTCTCTCCATGTCGGGGGATGCAGTCGTGGCTGTACAGGAGGGGGCTGATCACACAGCCCTGGGGGGCTCTCTGGTGAGTCCGCCAATCTGAACTGACTGGGGTCTGTTTGTGAGGAAGTCCAGTGTCCAGTTGCAGAGTGTTGAGTTTGCTGATCAGTTTCATGGGGAGATTGTGTTGAATGCTGAGCTGAAATCCACAACAGCTTTCTGATGTAGCTGTTGTTTTTCTCAAGATGTGTGAGGGCTGAGAGGAGGGCAGTGGAGATGGCATCCTCTGTGGATCTGTTGGTTCTGAAAGCAAGCTGACCACATCCCCTCTTGCTCTCTTATCCAGCTTGCGAGTTGATCACCCAGTAATTCTTCCAATTATAAAAAAACTGAAAAAACTTAGTCTGTAGGGTCCATCCTTGATGGCACCCCTCCTCTTAACTCCAACTAAATGTGATACATAAAAATAGTGTTCATAAATTTAATCACATGCGTCAGTCTATCGGAGTCACATTTTCACCTACCCATCCTGCAGAAATACACCTTGGACCGGATCCTGTGGATCATTGCTCTCAGTGGCCCAGCATGACTCCACCTGCAGGAGTAAGTCTGAAGCAAAAGAGTTGTTGGTGTGCAGGGCCACCTGGAAGAACAGGGTGTCCTCAGGCTCCAGGTCTCCGGTACGCCTGTAGCTGCTGTAAGTGTCATCAGTGTATAGGGTCATGGTCAGGCCCAGCTGCGGGGATGAGCTGAACTGCACCAAGGAGATAGAGGAGAGCCTACAACAAGAGATATGTTCCTCCATTTATTTACAATTCTTTCTTTTTGAGTTTGACACCATACCAAAGAACAACGGACAGAGAAGCAAAGAGATAAAATATAAAGATGGTTCGTCTTACCACTCCATATCCACACTGAGTTGAGTGTTGCGAACATAATGTCGTGGGTAGACACACTTCCAGACAACTTTCAGATCCTGCCGGCTAATGGTTTGCTCTCTGGTCAAAGTCACAGTCAGAGTGTTTTGGAACTCAAGGTGAGTTTTGTTCGCCTGGACATACAAAGGGCACTTCTTTATTACAGTTTAAGCACCTAAACTAGTTCTGATCATGTTGTGCAATGTAAACATTTTATTAGAGTTAAAATGTGAGGGTTATTGTATTCCATAAGTCACTAGTAAGGGAAAAATGAAATGTCTTTTTTATAACATCTATCAACTCACCCGCCTCTCAGTTCCACATTCAGAGGCTTTTTGTGAGATGCGGAAGTAGTAGAAAATCTCATTTTCATCCACAGTGCACCGCCCATCGTTCAGCTTCACATCTACCTTTCCCCCGAGGTACGAAGTCAGGTAGGGTTTTGCTATTCCACCAGTCACCAGTTTATCCAGACACTGGCTGATAAGGCCTCTTTCTGTTTCAAAACAACAGTCACGATCAAAGCAGTGAGAAGCCAGAATAATACTCGGACTCTGACACTTTTTTTAAAAAAGGAACAGCCATCTTAACCGTTTACTAAAGCCATAGTGCCGGGGTCAGCAGGTTTTTCAAATCATTATATGACAGGCCAGAACATAGTCAATTTATCATTTATAATTTATCATTTATTGTGTGCCTGTTTAGCTCAGTCAGTATTGCACAGTACTCCCGTTTGAAGGGTTGTGCGTTTAATCCCCACTTAGTACTGCCAGTACTATTTTCTCCCTTTTCAACAAAGCATGTGCAGGAGTGTGTGCCTCCCACTGATTGGTCCACATCAAAACTACAGATGCTTATTTTCATTTCCCCAGTATCTCCAGGCAGAGGAAATTCCTTTGTTTATCATTCAGAGACTCTTATGAATTTCCTTTAGAACTTTCTCTCAATTAAACCCGACAAAGTACTGCTGCAAAGACGTTCATGCTTTTATTTTGTAGGCAACAAGAGGAAGTGATTATATGGAGTAACTTTTGCCAGTGCATTTTCTTAATTTGTGTCTGTCATGACAGCTCTGTTTTAGCACCAGCCACTATAATGTTGTTGGGTTTTTTTGTCGCTATCAAAGTAATCTTGCCACGGGCGAGATATTATTGCTAGCGTGCGAGCTACGGCCGCCTTTTGCCAACCACTGCTGTAGTGGAAGCACATTATAAGAAAAACTGAAAAGTCCCCAAAATTTCTCTAAATATAAAGTCACAAACACTTAAGTAGAATTTAGCATCCTAATAGTCATTTCAACTTCTCTTATGTTTCTTGGTGGCAAATGGTGATAGCAGTCAAATATTGTGAATGATGGGCACCAGAGCTGGAGCCCAACGACGGAACCAGCTCAGGAACCTCCCGATAATCACAGCCAGACCAGGACCGAACACAGCCTCCCAGACCGACGGAGGCCAGTTTGACAACATGGATTTAAGTGCCATGGGTGATTTACAAGACTCTGACCTGGGGACGATGAAGACACGGAGGGTTCAGGCGGGGACAGGGGAGCGTCAAGAGGGAGGGGAGCAAGACAGACGTCAAGGCATCAGAGAGGCAGCGAGAGCATGTAGAGCCAGAACAGTTCCACATCTAATCCAGAGAATTAAGGGTTTATTTCAACCAAACCAGAGTTGGTGATTGCTGGAACAGTAGAAAGACTAACTACGATGGTTTCTGAGAGTTTTATTTTGTTCTTGTTTTCTTCATTAAGATAACAAGGCTTTAAGAGCTAGAAACTTCAGTATTATAATGCTTCGTATGAGACAGAGTGTTAAAAACAGACTTTTCAACATTGAATATGATGAGACATGCAACTTGTAAAAGTTTACCACTGCAGACCGGATGTGAAGCCACAGGAGGCACGATGACAGAGCTCACATCATAGTAACCATGTTGGCACACACAGGTGTAGGAGCCCAGAGTGTTGATGCACAGAGAATTACGGGGACACAAAGTTTGCTTGGAGAAAGCACACAGATCTGGACCTGATAAACGGTCAAAGCAAATAAAATCCATCTCAGAAAACAGAAGATTATTATTCTGTGACATGTAGGTGAGCTGGTCTTTCAACATCACCTACCGTCCCAGTGAATGACCCCGTCTGCAACTGTAACGTTTGTAGCCTTCAGGGAGCGAATGTAATCCAGCTGATCTTCAGCGGGCAGGGGCACATCTTCGTCAGTGTTGGATGCATCAAAAGACAGAAACAGAATCTCCGTTTTGTCTTTATGATCTGCAGGTTCAAAGGTGGCCACTTCAATGCGGACTGGCTGATCAAAGTCTTTCAACAGCTTCTGAAGCTGAAGGACACACACACACACACACACACACACACACACACACACACGTTTAAAGAATGATAAACTTATTTGGAATTAATTATGCTTGGCTGTAATGTATTACTCAGTACTTCAAAACATAAAAACGTATCTGATTCAAGAAGAAAAACATTTTGTTCAGAAAGTAAATGTGTTAATGAATAAACGGAAGTGTAAAATATGTTTTGGAATAAAAAAAGGGAGCCATCCACAAGTGAACCTCACATCCTGCCACCTCATGTTTTGTTCATTTAAATCTCTCCTGTACACTAACACCACCAATCGCCACATCCTCCCCCTAAAGCTTCCCATCTGGCCCACAGAATTGCCACTGATGAAAGTATTGTAATATCTATACATTTACAGTATTACGAACTGCTGTATTAAGTTACTGCCAATGCTAACTGAACATTTCCTGCTACTGCAGTGTCATATTAAAAGCATTTAACTGGCAAAACACGAGTTGACTGTTAATATGAAGTACAGGAAATGCTGTGTGTTTGTCAGTAAGTTCATCATAAAAACAAAAAAACAACTGTAATTTTCAACCTGCTATGACAGCAGACCAGTAATATCACACTCAGGAGCAGATACAGTGAGTTGTCGTCCGAAAAGCTGCAGGCGACAGGCTGCACATCTCCAACTTCTCAGTTACCAACTCATTTTATCTATTTGCAGGCTCATGTCCTGACTGCTCACATTTAGGGCTGTCCCCGACTAAGGATTTACATAGTCAAAATCATAGTCATAGTCAGAATCGTAAAGTCCTGCCTATAGTCCACTGATAGTCGAATCATGCGTTTATTTGCGCGGCGATTGTACACAGTAGCTCTGCTTTAATCTTGAGAAGCTGCAGAGCTGCAGTCTCTATTCATTCAACTTACACTGTAAATTTCCAGCTAAACTGAGGCTTTTTAAGACCTCTCCCCCCACTGACGACCCAGGGTTAGGTTAAAATTTTGGATTTATTCACGTACTTTAAAAACATTTACATATTTATAAAAACAAAACATGTTTATTTACAGCATTAAATGTTCAAATGTATACTGTAATAGGCTGTATAACTTGGGAGAAAACTGGTAGTTCTATGTAAAATCAGACGTTGAGCACCCCCATATCACCAAAATGGCATGATCCTTGTTTCGCTCCGAAGCGTCGACTGTGAGATTGACAGTTGAATGAAGCTCCGCCCATTAAAGCATCGAATCTTCGACTATTTGAAGACTCGATGCTATTCTGGGTCAGCCCTATTCACATTATTATGGAAAAAGACCAATTACTGCCAGCCTGACAATAGTTGATTTGCTGCCCCTGACTTCTGTGACGTGCAGTAGGCTATTAATTCACATCTGCTGTTACCACCAGTAACTACACATGCACAAAAATGTCTCAAATGCATAATAGCGTTAGCGAAACAGGTAGAATAATATTTCCTGCCAATGTTATATTTACAATTACAGACTTTAACCATCAGCATGAACTTCCTCCTTGGCAGAAGTCTGAGAGCATATTCTAGTTAAGTATGTATAGTTATTATTTGTATGTTTTTTTGGAGTTTGTTCACACAATTAGGATAATAAAAACTGCATTTTTGGTGCAAATATTAAACAAGAATATGCTAATTAAGTCTAAATAATTTCTTTAAATTGAAAGGCCGGCTGACACAGTGTAGAAATTCTGGCCCTTGAACATGACCCCTGGTCTACAGCCATGGTAGCAGCTCTGTGAGGCTTTACTTGAGCAAATGCTACCGTCAGCATGCTAACATGCAGATGTTAAGCATGTATAATATTTCTCATGCTGACAATCTTAGTTTAGCTTGTTAGCTTTCTGCTAATAAGCGCTAAACACAAAGTACAGCTGAGCTGAGGCTGACGGGAATTTCGCAGGGCCACGCAGCTAGCTTGAAAAACCATTAAAATTTCATTGAGATGTGTCATTTTTTTTATTGGCTCCAAGGAGAGTTTTTCCACGCAGAAACACAAAGGGGTGTACTTTAACTCAGCACTGTATAAAATTAGGATGAAAACTGGATCTGCAGCCCGTGATCACATATGTAAATAATGAAGATTCTTCTACCTTATCTTTAAAAATCTCCCTCATTTCAGCTCTTGGTTCTGATACATCATCCTGTAGATCATCGGGTAGTGACCAGGGCACGACCATTGTGAGTACCATGGTGGAAAAATCTAAATCCAGCCCTACAGAAGTCACAAAATGGAGACACAGCATGAAAGATTATTAAAGAAATCCAGTATATCGTTATCAGATTTAGGCCTACGCTGGAGAAAAATAACAAAAAATAATGTGTTTTGGTTTAGTTTTTTTACACATTATTGTTTTTCTTTTTATTCCAGCTTTCTTGAATTAATACTTTCAACAGATTGCTGTTTAATACAGTCACAAAATGTTCAGTGGATTGTCTTTATGTCTAGTCAACAAAACAGACATTCAAACTAAAAACCACCACACAACTACAGATCCCTTGTCCTTATTGGACTAATGGAACATTCAGACTGACCTCTGTTCAGATCAGATCCAGCAGCCCTCAAGAGGAGCCCTAAGGATGAATAAGCTCCCTCAAAAACCACACGAGAATGTTCCGATTCCCACTGTCCGTCACATTCCTCCCACACACTGAGGACATAGGTCTTCCCTTCCTCCAACCCCGGTAGACCCAGCTTTGGGTCAGTCACACGGCTGCCCTGGATGCTGGTGCCATTCTCCAGAGACAGTTCATATAAAAAGGCCACAGCTGGTTGGTTCATGGTGCTGGGTTTCCACAGGGCGGTGGAGTCGTTAGAGCGATACCTCAGCTCAGACACACCATGTGTTCCTGGATACATCAATACAGACAGATCAGGCCACAGACACAGTACTGTGCAAAAGACTTAGGCGGGTGTAGGAAAAATGCTGTAAACTAAGAATGCTTTCAAAAATAGGCATGTTAAGAGATTATATTTATCAATTAACAAAATACAAAGGGAAATCTAATCAATATTTGGTGTCACCACCGTTCCCCTTCAAAACAGCATCATTTTTGTCTAGGTACACTTGCATATAGTTTTTAAAGGAACTTTCATGTAGATTGGCCCAAACATCACATCAGTGAATGAATGTGACATGTAGTGTTAAGTGCTTTGAGTGGTCAGAAGACTAGGAAGGCACTTCCCAACACTGCCTTTTCATAGTGGGTCTACCACTCTGTCCACAGGAACTACCACTCTATCCGCAGCTTGATGTATTTGGGTGTCCTATACCCATATATGCATGCATCAATAAATTTTAGAAGAATAAATAATCTCCTTTGTGGTGCATGCAGATACTTCGGTACATAATATATTAACAGAGAAACAGTATGCGACCAGAACCATAACGCAAACACGTAACGTAAGGGTCCCCCCCTGCAGCTAATGGTGGGCCTGAGTGGGCCCCTTTCCTACAGCAGAGAGGGAATTTAACACCTTCCATAGTGTGGATATTTAAATGTCACAAAATAAATATAATAACACTATTTTGAACACTGGACACAGGTTAGTAATATAAAATATATAATATAATTAAATTATACCCATTATAATCTCAGTAACGCGAGTTACAACGCGTTTTAACATGAAATTATGTTGTGTTTTGGTTTTTAATAATACTCTAACACCTACAAACATTTCAAACATTTTGGTACTGGAATAATAAAAATCTATTGCTTTTTTAGTCCATTACAAAACTTAACAGGAACATAGAGGACTGAAAAAGTGATATGAACACACAGAGTAGTGTATCTTTTTAGTTAAACAGATGTTGACAAAGTTTGACTTTAGGGACCTAATTGGAAGTTGGAAAAAGGTAATAAATTGCAGTATATCTCAATTTAATTTAAAATCGCAACATAAATATCGTAATAATATTGTATCGCGGGGCCTCTGGTGATTCCCACCCCTAGCGACAGTAGTATTGTAATATAACTAATTAATAAATAACATAACTCTTGAATGACAGTAACTAGTAATCTATAATGTATTACATTTTGGAAGTAACTTGCCCAACACTGCTCATTGTGGCAGAGGACATGATTTCATTATCAAAGTTCTTGTAAAAAGCCCACCAGTTGTGTAACAGTACACCTGTTACACAACTGTACTGTGAAGCTAGAACGAACCTTTTACAACAAAACTATGGCTAAATTATTTACATTTTAAATAAATTTCTCAAACAGAGAAACAAACATTACATCAACTGTGAATGCAAAACTATTAGCAATACTACAGAATCCGTTTTCCTACATGTGAGTATACATGCACACACTTTGGTGTATCGATGAGCAAAAATGAAAGTGATCTGGTGACCAGTAAGATTATTGGGTTGAACCAGCTGCAGCTCTCCGACCTCTACTATAGGCAGGTCCGAATGAAGGCCCAGGCCATATTGGACTGTCCTCTTTTGTTTGCACAGAAACCTCGGCACCTTTATGATGAATGAGTTAAGATACCTGGTGGCAACAAAATTTCCTCTGGTGAGATAGTAAAGGTTGTTTTGTTTTTTTTACTTTTGATCCCATACTAACCCCTTTAAGTCCAGGTTGTGAGTGTTTTATTTCTAATACTCAGGATGGCCAGCTCCTGCGCCATGGTTCTCAGATAAGTTTTAATTAGTTTTGAGAAGAGTGTTTGCAATAGTCACAGGTAGAGTAAGAGACAGTTTAATAGCTGTGGCTGCATCAGGCACGCTATGGTATAAGGAGTGGCAATTTATGAATCCAGACGGGGTCGGGGCCTGTCTAGATATCACACATGATTTCTTCTTTCTTGAGGGAAATTATTAAGTTGTGCAATTTCCTTTTAAATTTCAACAGTACGCTAACCACCTCAGAACAAAACCCGTAAACTTACAATCCACTGTCTGTCCTCAGTATTGATCTTTTATTGAATCAAAGTCCAAAGTAACTTGAGTCTAGTCTAAAAGACCCCATATAGCTAACTTGTAAAACTTGTTTTCTTCCTCCTACTACCAGACACAAAAACATATGGCCAAGTTCCCCTTCGTAAGGACTGATGGGAATGGGGACAAGAAGATATTTTACTGCAGGTTCAGCTATCTCATCACTTTGCCTGGCTTTCTGTTAACAGAGTAATACTGCATAATGAGTAGCGTGTATGGAACCATATTAATTCTACCAGTGTGTGTTCTCTCATTAGTTTCTGCCTTACCTGTGTGCGCTGTGACCGTCTTGGCACTCATGAGCACACCGTCTCCACACAGCGCCTCCACCTTGGCCTGGTACTGTTGGCATGGCAGCAGCCCCCTCACAGTGTAGTTGGTCATGAGCGTGGTGCCCTGCAGCGCCCCCTCATGATAGACTCTGAAAACAGAGATGGATGAGGTGTTCCTCACCTCCCAGCTCAGGGTGTAGCTGTCTGGGCCAAACGACGTCTGATGCAAGGCCTCGATGCTGGAGTAAGCTGAGGAGCACCGAAGGGACTGTGTTAAGCACTACAGTTTTTACCTAAAGCAACTCTTCCCAATTACAAAAAAGTAATTTAGTCAGTTCATCAAGCCTTGCAGGACTTACCTGAGTTTCCATCGTTCAGGACCATCTTGCTATAGCGGGACTCCATCCCTGCCGGGCAAACCGTCTGCAGGCCAAACTTAACCTTGCTGCAGGGCTGCAGATCAGACAAGATGAACATTAAGCTGTCCTTCTGCCACAGGAGTACCTCTTCTGTGACGTGGTCTGTACCATTGAGGTAGAAGGCGGTGAGGAGGAAGAGGGACATCTTGTGGTTCTCAGGGAAGTCCCAAGACAGCAATAAGCTGCTGGTGGTCCGTGATGTCATCTCAAAGTTCTTGGGAATGTCTGGGTCTGGTGGGAAAGGCACAAAGAGTTGGCAATGTGTTTTGGGTATCATCAACTTTTAAGTGTGGTTAACTGAGCAGTGGCTCATTTACACATCCAGCAAATGTGAAGCAACATTAGCATCATAGACTATATGATTAGCATTCATGTGTACTTGAAATTATAAAAGATATTCAGCGCCCTGGCTTCCAGGTAGTTAATTTTACTAAGATATAAAAATCTACTTGTAGAGACATGATACTTGCTTAATACTTGTTTTTCTTCTTCTAATTATCTTTATACCAACAAGCATTTCAAACTATTTTTTTTTTTTTGCTGTCAATCATTTGTGGATGTCTGCGACTCCATCCAACCGCCAGTCCATACCGGTAATAGTAGAGAAGCAGGTGAAGGAGTGACTGCCTGCAGTCTCCATACAAGCCACGTATGAACCGCAGGAGTCCAGACCTGTGAAGCAGTAGTGGTTGTCGGACGTAGTGTCCATGCTGAGAGTGTTATAGGAGCCTAGTTCAGTGTGGTACAGGGTCGCAGTGTAGCTGTGGCTGACACCTGGGCGGTTGTCCACCCAGGAGACCAGCAACATGGAGGGAGCCCAGGACTCGAGCTTGACAGGGAGACGCATTGTGTAGCCTAGGATGAGAAAATTATGAGTTTAAGTCATACAAATGTGGTCATGAAAACAGAAGAAGTCATTTGAAGCATCATTAATAATAAACAATCCACTTGCATAAATGTGCTCAGCAAATTTCATTGCTGTCTAGATGATATAAGATATTGGCCTGGAGGTATCAGTTGACCAAAGGTCACCACAAAACATTAGGATCCATCTTCTGTGGGCCACAAAAACCCTCAGAAAATACATCAGTCTGGTGAACAGTTACAGAACAGTATATGTGTTCCGGACCAACGTTTTAGACAAATAAACAGACCAACATCATCACTGAACCCATGAGGTGACAAAACGTACATTTACAGCTCTATATTTTTATTCTGAGATTCCACTAGAGTAGCTTTGCATGAGTCACAGTTCAAATCCAATCCTGTTCACATACTTATTTATCCTATACTGGTCCTCAGTTCACTCTCAGTCTGAAACAAGCCAATTTATCGCATCCTTTTGCTGGTGTGCTGCATAGGACAGCTTTAACTTATCTTAGAAAATGGTGATACAAGGCACTGAATTTGATGCTTTTATGGTTTATCAGACCAAATATGCCGGATTGGAGTGTTTCAGGTGGCCACTGAAGGTACCAGATATGTTTGAATACTGTACAAAACACACAACTTTTATCTTTTTCACTGATTTTGGTGAAACTACATCATATTTTGAGTTGCTGGATGGACAGCTCTGACGTCAGCTCAGCACGAAAGCAGAAAAAAGCATTGGAAACCAGTCTGAAGCCTGAGCATGAGGAGGCAGCAAGGAAGTCCGCCACAGCCAAATACCTACAGAGAAAGGCAGCTGAATGGGAAGAACAAGATCCGAGCCATCAACACATACGCCCTGCCAGTCAGATACCCCGCTGGTATAATAAACTGGCCAAAGGAGGAGATAAAGGCCACTGACATCAAGACGAGAAAGCTCCTCACAATGCATGGAGGGTTTCACCCCAAATCCAGCACCCTGAGACTGTACACCAAGCGTAGCGAAGGAGGCCGAGGGCTAGTGAGTGTCAAGACCACTGTCCAGGATGAAATGACGAAGATCCAGGAGTACATCAGGAAGATGGCCCCCAAAGATGAAGGACTTAGTGAATACCTCAGGCAGCAGAAACGTGAAGATGAGGACAAGGAAGATGAATAACCTTCATGGAGAGACAAGTCGCTGCACGGCATGTACCACAGACAAATAGTAGAAAGAAAAAAGACTGGACTGAAGGAAAGCACAGAAGCACTAATCGTGGCGGCACAAGATCAGGCACTCGGTACAAGATCAATAGAGGCTGGGGTCTACCACACCAGGCAGGACCCCAGGTGCAGACAGTGCAAGGATGCCCCTGAGACAGTACAGCACATAACAGCAGGGTGTAAGATGCAGGCAGGAAGTGCGTATGTGGAACAACATAACCAGGTAGCTGTCATAGTGTGCAGGAACATCTGCCGTCAGTATGGGCTGGAAGTCCCAAGGTCAAAATGGAAGACACCTCCTAAGGTAGTTGAGAATGACGGAGCTAAGACCCTGTGGGACTTCAAGATCCAGACTGACAAACTGGTGACGGTTAACCAACCAGACATCGTGTTGGTCGACAAACAGCAGAAGAAGGCTGCAGTGATAGATGTGGCAATCCCAAGCGACAGCAACATCAAGAAGAAGGAACACGAGAAGCTTGAGAAATACCAAGGGCTGGAAGAGGAGCTAGAAAAGATGTGGAAAGTAAGAGCAACAGTGGTGCCAGTGGTAATCAGAGCACTGGGGACTGTGACTCCCAAACTGGGAGAGTTGCTACAGCAAATTCCAGGTAAAACATCAGAGGTCTCTGTCCAGAAGAATGCAGTCCTAGGAACCCCCAAACTATCTGAAAATAAATGAAATCATAATAGGGCCACTTTAATGACCTTTAAAGGAAAAGTTTGACATTTGGGAATAATTGTTATCCACTTTATTGCAAAGAGATACCACTCTCATGTCTATCAGTTCAATATAAAACTAGAGCCAGCAACCGCCAGGTTAGCTTAGCATAAAGGCTAGAAACAGGAGGAAACAGCTGACAAAAGTGTAAGATCAACATGGATTTTACACATTGGTTGGTCAGATTTTGACTTAAGACACGAGTGTAAGAAAGCAAAAAGCATATTTTGAATAAACTTCAACTCTAAATCCGGTTTTACACTGTAGGCCTTTCTGCACAGCAAGAACCTGTGAGTTTTATGCTCACGCTGTATGGATAAACAGCTCGGGCACAACTTGCGTGCTAATACTGAACGTAAGCACGAAGCGCCCACTCGACAGCAGCCATGAAGGAAATCTGCTAAGCAGACCAAAAAACATCAATGCTAAACCCAAACTAAAAAATTAAAAAACTGAGGGCAGGTCAACATGTAATTTCACATTTAAGATTACAATAAGTACACACAGATAATCTCACCAATTCCAAGGAAGAAGTTTTCATCTTGGTGGAAAAATAGTGTGCCGTTTTCACATGCAAACACCTCAGTGGGACTCATCAACTCCAGGAAGCCCTGCAGAAAAGTGAAATGGACTGTGTATACAAATATAACATGACCATCAGATCAGTATAAAACTGTAGTTCCATGTTATATCAGAAGTACCTTGGTGGCAGTTGTTGGTTGCTTTAGGGGTTTCTGCCTGCCGCTGATTTTAGTTAACTTTGTACCTTAGAGTGAGATAAACACATTTCATTTCACATCCAATAACAGTAGTTCTTATCAAGTAAAAATATCAAAAAAGTTAAAAAGATTCTTACATGGGTTGATTTTTAAAGTCCATTCCTGAACAGAGCCTCCATACTGAAGCGTTAGCTTGTTTTCTACAGCTGGGTACACCGTCAGGGAGGTAACTTTACCCAGCTTCCTGATGGATTTCAGCGCTGTATCATTGAGCCATATGTTTCCATTTTGCCTTAAAGGATGGAAGAAAAAGCTTTGCTACACTCCATTTTTAGCATGTGTGTGCACGCTTCCACCTTTGTGGCAACAATATGGGGAAGACCCTTTCCAGTTTTCACATGACAATGCCCCAGTGTACAAATGAAGATCCATACAGAAATGGTTTTGGTGGGGAACAACTCAATCCAACACTAGTGCCAACTTATCTAATGCTCTTGTGTCTGAATGGGAGCAAATTCATGCAGCCAGGTTCCACCAGCTGGTAAAAAGAGGAGTGGAGGTTGTTACAGCTGCAGATTAGTGTTTCTCATTTTGGAATTACATGTTGCAGTGTAGTCTAATGTTCAGGTATGCACATACATTTGGCCACCACAGAACTCCAAACAAATAAAATAAAAAAAAATTATTTCATAGAGGGTGAGGGAATCTACTTTGTGCTCCAAAAAGTCTTGATCTGATCCTGCATTTGAGAGCATTTTCAATTATAGCTGTTATAGGTATGCCGAAATCACCACAAATATATAATGAGTCCTAAAATCTATGTAGGCTTAAGTTATGTTCTACCATGGGTCCAGATTTGCCCAGAAACACTAATTTGTGGTTTTGTGAATGGAGTTTGGCGACAGGTTCTTTTTACATGGCAGATAAACACTTGATCAGGCATCATTAAGCACTGTGTGAAACACTGTAAACTACACCCTTAAAAACGCTTGTTTCTTATGTTTACCTTTCCAGAGCGTCGTCCTTGCTCATCCAGCATATTGAGAAGGAAATACCACTGGATCGTCCTGGAAGGAAAACAGTATCCAAATGTAACAAACTCCTGTTTATTTTAACGCAGTAATAGGCCTGATGTCTGATGCAGTGTGCTACTCACCCAACGATATATGAGACACCAGTATGAAGAAGCTTAACGAAAACTCTAAGGAGTTCCTGAAAATGTAAATAGCCTAATAAATACTAAGTAATACATTTTATCTGATAGCACCTTTCATGACACTCAAGGTCGCTGATTAATTCGTTGAATTCGGAAGAGATAGGGGACATAAAACCGGCACTTATTCTCTTACATTTTCGTGGCAATTCCTGCGAAGGAGAGCATGTTGTGTTTGGCCTGGCTGGAAATGACAGACTGCTAATGAGTGGCAGGTGTGCGCTGCCTTCCTGTGCTTTCATGTGGTGTCTTTGGGAAAATCTACGTGAACGCCCCCTGAGGTTGGAACAACTCAGAAAATTTGAGAAAATGTTGGTAGAGTTGCTGAGTTGTTGACATCCTATATGTAGAAACATGGCTCTCAACATGGTTGATGGTTAGAAACCTTTGATTAATGGTGCGAAATCATGTAGGCTGTGGTGTCATTTACACTGGGGACGCTGGGGACATGTCCCCAACCGCTTTTTGAAAGAATTTGCCAAAAGTTTTTTGAAAATTAGCTTGCAACAAGAAATGTTAAATAACAAATAAAAATTCTTTGAGAAAGGTATACTTGCACAATAGGAAAACATGAAATGCAAAGTAAATATAGAAGAAACAGATCTGCCTTGTCCAAAAAAAAACAGGCTGGTGATTATTGTATTATATTCGATAATCGATTTTTATATTCTGAATTATCACGACCACATGAATTTTTTTCCCTTTATAAATAAAGACATTTACACCATAAATTGGTGCAGAAAATGTCTGCAGAATGCAGAAAATTAATAGTTTAACACTCAAAATCTTCTGAGGGAGGACCCCCAGACCCCCTGATCGAATAGCTTATATCATCATTGAATACTTCTTCCAAATAGAATTGGAGTATCTTGTTCTCTTGACTCCAATATTGTGCATTATCACGTGGCATGGACTAAGTGTTTCATAACACCCATATGAGCCCTTAAATGTCCCTGCCACTTTTCAACACCAAGTGACACCCTTGGCTGTAGGCAGACAGGATGGTACACTCTGACAAGGCCTATTCATGTTTTGATAACATTTCATTGTAATATGATATTAGGTTATAACTGTTAGTTTACAGTCCACAACCTATTTGCAGTAGGCCTTCAAGCAATATTTTTGTAGTTTCAGGTTGCCTAATATAGGCCTACTGGTGCATTAACAACTCTGGGACAAAAATCACTTTGTAATAGAAAGCTCCAAACTGTTTCAGCAGTCTTGATTCAACACTTCTTTTTAGTAGCGTCCACGTTGTTCCCACATTCACACTTTAAAAGCACATGAACAAACCGAAGTTGAAAGGACTTCAAACTCGAGAGATGGGATTATCCGAGGTGCATGTGAATGCACCATTCACTCACCTGCTTCACCAAGTTACTAGAAGTCTTTTGTTTTTCATATAATATAGGCCTATGATACATTTAAAACTAATACCGATGCCAGTCCCTTGTATATGTCCTTGTATAAAACACTGGACCCACATTTACTATAATGCATCTCAATGATGATGACTTCATCCGGGTTATTTTCTCAAATTTAGAAAAGTCCCTCCAAAGCCATCCCATTCTCATTCCCAGGGCTCAAATATGCTTTGACACGTCCTTCAGACCCGGACTACACAGGGCGTTAAACGGCAATGCCAACGGTTCTTGACCTTGGGATGAGAACGGGTTGCCAAAGCTAAGACATAAAAGTGATTCCTGAACTGTGTAGCCTAATAGCCTCTTGATGAGTCCCTCACAATGCTTGTCGTAGGTAGGCCTACAAGTGCATTCAAATTTCGAACAAATGTAGCCTATCACAAAGTAGCAAGTAACCATGTAAAGTTTGTCAGACGGATGGTTGATGGACCAGACTTGCCCACGTTCACCTGTTTTATCAGTAAACGTGACGGTGGATTACCTGATACAATAGTATTCTATTCTTATAGTCAGAAGGCCTATCATGACGAAAGAGGAGAATATTGGAGACTAGCCTTTGTGATGAAAACAAAAGGACAGGCAGAACAACTCCAAAGACTACATTTTAGGTTTAGTGTGGACATAATTCAGTCTATCCAGAATTTGAGATGTCGCAATCGCAACAAATTCCCGAGAATTCAGCGTGACACTCCCTCAAATTTGTCCTATCCTCGCCGTTTCCAGTTACGTTATGTCAGCTTGTCATTTCCTGATTTACAAGTAACGTCTCACTTGCCGACAAAAAAGGACCGTGAAAAACAGTAGGCTTTCGATCTTGACAGAGTGGCAGAAACGCATGGAGGAAATCAGACGAGACAACTCACTGTGACACGGGCTGCTGCGTCCCGGTAAATTGCAAGCCCTGAAATAATCAAGGTAAGCTGGTTTTAAATATGCAGGGTTCAGGTTAGGTCCGGGAAATCTCACTATTTCATCGCAAAAAACGCCCCAAACGTTTTTAGAAAAGCTGCCGCAAAATCAGGCATTTTAGACTGCAACAATCTCAGGCCCCTCAGAAATCCTGGAGGGACTGATAAATTGCAGTTCTTCCAATCTAAGATTGCTTCAGCTTTAATTGCTAAGTATTCAGTATTTCGTAAAGAAAAAGGCAAAAAAGAAAAGGAGGGAAATAATTAAATAAATAATTCTTTGTGACATTTTTGCCTTCCTTGCTGTCATGACTCCTCAGAAGTCTCTTGGAACCCCATGTTGCATGTTGTGACGCAGAAGGCCTGTAGGTGGCATTGTGCACCTATATGAAATTTGCAGTCCACCATCTGCAAAGTACACAAATAAATGTGTAAATATTTTATTCAAACGTCAGTAACTGATCAAGCGGCATGGCAAGAAACTGATTTAAAAAAAAAGAAAGAAACCCGAAACAAACACTTATGCCTTCCTGAAGCCTGCTCTAAGACTTATTCTCATTTACCTTCTGTGTGTGACTTTGTGATTACATTAGGCAAACGAAAGACGACTTGTCCTCTATTACTGGTCCTGCATCGCTGTGTCCAGCTGTTCAGGGTCTACTGGACAGCAATCAGACAAAGGAGCTTTTGTCTGATAAATCTTAACAAGCAACATACTAAATTGGAGTCACAAGTATGCACAGTATCTGAAGAGTTTCAGGCTGTTGGCTTGTGGGGGCTGCAACTTTTTCTACCTCTGCTGGGCTATAATTCAAGTCAAATCAGAATCTGAGCAGCAGGGTCTTGGGAAGTATAAGAGTATTCTAACGCAATATGGAGAGCTGGCACTGTTGGCTGCTGCTGTGCACACTAAGTTTAGTGCTGGCCTCTGGAGAGGCAATGAAAAATGATGATGACATCGACCTTGTCAGCTTTCTGAGAAGTATCTTCCCCGGGCTGCTGGTGAGAGAGGAGCCACTCATCATCAACAGAGACTTTGAGATAAACTCCCTGAAGGAGCTGGTACGGCAGGAGGGCCTCTCAATCACAGAGCAAACCAAGGACAAAACAGTCAGTCGGGATACAGATGGGGCTCCTGGACCTGTGGTGTCAACCAAAGATGGCCAGATCAAGGGGATTACAGTGGAGAAGGCCCATATATTCTATGGGATACCATATGCAGACCCCCCAGTTGGGGCTTATCGCTGGAAGCCCCCTAGACCTGTGAGTCCTTGGACAGGGGTTTATGACGCATCCTTCCCCAGGGCGGCATGTGTGCAGGCCTGCAGGGGACCTGAGGAGTGTCCTCAAAAAGTAAGGAACAACACAACTTCTGACTTATTTGCATGTTGTTGAGATAGTTCACTTTGGCATGCTAAACTAAAAACTAAAACTAAACTAAACACTTAGAGGTAATCACAGAGTAGAACTAGTTGGCGTACTCAACCAAACTCACTTTTAAACTTACTAACTGAACTAATTTGAAAGTTAGAAGTTATATAATTGAGTTTTCAATTTCTAGGAGATATATTTATAAGAGTAGTTCCCTGTCTGAAAAGGCCTTACTACACCAAAAAGTCTCTAAAATCTATTGTGAAGGCAATACTGAATATTTTTTTTCAAAATTGTTCAACCTTAGTAGCTAACTAGCCTGCTATAAGCTAACCTGGAAGGTTGAGTTTCTGAGCTTTTTACCAAGCTTCAGTGTAATGTAACTTGGCCTTAAAAAATAGTGGCTGCGTAAAGGGGACAAATTTTCCCTACTCTGCCTCTGATTGGCTTAGCCTGACGATGATGTTTCTCATGTAGCCCTGGCTGAACGAACAGGAACTTTTTACTGTCCTGCTGTCTTCTGCAAATTAACTTGAAATTGTTAAGCCCTAATAATTTCTTCTAAATGCAGTCCTTTAGTGTCTGCGCAGAGTAGTCTTGCATAGCCAGACCTTAATTTTAGCAATGTGCCAGCACTGGAGAAAGGAGAAAAATCCCCAGGAAACCTAGTATTCAGAGCTCTCTGGAGCAGGGATTACGTTTGCATATGTTTACCTCATTATTTGAAACTTTGGCCACAGTTCGTACAAACATCTGACATTGTAACAGATGTAGATAAAAAATGAAAAACAAATAGATCCCCTCTAACCCTACATTTATAAATATACTTGAACAATAGTGTTTTGTAGCCTGACAATATAATTTTAGCTACAACTAAATGACATATTGATTTTAAATGATCAAAAAACTATTTCTTCCACTGTGCCAAATAGGTGAGTGAGAACTGTCTCTACCTCAATATCTTTGTCCCTGTGGATGTGAACTTCAGCTCCCCTCTGAGGAGCTCACTGCCTGTCATGGTGTGGATCCATGGTGGGGATTTCATTGCTGGCTCTGCCTCCAAGCCCCTGTACGACGGACGCTTCATCAGTAACTTCACCCGCACTGTTGTTGTAAGCGTGGAGTACCGACTGGGTATGAAAGTTTGGTGGTCCTTTTAATGGACCTATTCCAGTATATTAACCTGGGTGTTTATATATATATATATTATATTCCAGTATTATTCCAGTATATTAACCTGGGTGGCTGGCTATATATATATATATATATATATATATATATATATATATATATATATATATATATATATATATATATATATAATATTATATATATATATATATATATATATATATATATATATTATATATATAAGGGCTGACCACGTTAATGCGTTATATTCACGTTAACAAATTAAAGCCGAAAATTACTGTATCGCAGTTTTTAAAAAATTATTAGTATTTTGAATGTCGGTTTCTCACTGGCTCTGAATACACATACAGTGAAACCGTGGGTTGAAGGGGGGGGCGGGGGGGGGGGCATGTGTATGTTTGCCTGTTGGTAATTACTCTGCTTTCCTGAAAGTAGAGATATGTGAACGGTAATTTGGAACTCGGGTGAAATTAATGTCATGCCGGAGTAAATTATGTCTCACTAATCATGTGAATTGATGCATGATTTAAGGTGCCTTTGGGTTCCTTGTGTCGGGCAAAGACCCTCACACCTCAGCTGCAGGGAATTATGGGATATTGGACCAGCAGGCAGCTCTTCTTTGGGTCCAGCGGAACATTGCAGTGTTCGGAGGTGATCCCAGCAAGGCAAGCAGGCACACACAGAAAACATTCACACACACACTGTCGGTGTACTATTTAATTTTCTAACCTTAAATGGTTATCTCCTTTATTTTGTGTACTGCACAAACTTTACGCGTACAAGCTTTTATAGTTTCACTGCATTCAAATTAATTATTTCAGGCCTTAAAGAATTTTAAATGTAGCAGTCAAGGATGTTTATTGTAAATAATTAAAGTTTGTGGTTGTGCCATACTACGGTAACCACACTGTGCCATACTGCTGTTTAAGAATTAAAATACTGTATGTCATCTAGGGTCACAAGCTAAATAAGTAGGGAAACGCTGGTACAAAATTTTGTTCACATATGATATTTCACTGCTGGTCAGTTTTCAGGTCAGATTGGCACATGTTTTAGAGACACTCATAGTTTCCAGAGCATGAATCCTACTGACTTTGGTCTGTTTTTTTCCTCCCTCTAGTACTACCATGAGGTTGACCTTTGTGTTTTTTAGTAAAATGTACTGACAACTCGGATTGTCATGAAATTTAGTACAGGCAATGTGACGTAAAAAACATTCCATACTCTAAAATATTTTTATTTTATTTAAAATATATAATTAGAATTTTTTTTTTTATCAACTATCTGGTGGAAATTACCTTGGGACCCCCAGGTTGAGAACCACTGACGTAGAGGACCATAAGAAGAATAATGTAAACTTGTGAATGGAACGCTTCCCAGTTATTTTAGACAGCCAGATTGTAAAACAAGTGTTTCTGGGTAGTGAAGCTCAAACAGTTAGCAGAAGTGTCCTCTCTTGTTTCTATCATGTGAAGCTGCTGATTGTGGCTTTTAATGTCAAGCCGCTGTGTTGTGTTTGTTTTTTGTTTTTTTTGATCAGGTGACAATATTTGGAGAGAGTGCAGGTGCTCAGTCAGTAAGTCTTCACCTGATGATCCAGAGCAGCAAACCTCTGTTTCAACAGGCTGTCCTGCAGAGTCTGCCTTTCTCCATCCCTCTGAAGACCAGGTGAGGAACCATCGGCTTAGGTTGGCATTGGTTACTTATATGTGATTGATTTATGCCTGACTGAAGTGACAACATACTATGGACTCAAAGAGCTTTCAAAAGTATTCAGGAGTGGGGGTGGGGGGTGTTTTCTTGAGTTCTTGCTGTCAAACCGTGTGGGAAAGTCTCCAGCGTGCTTACAGACAACTTCAAGCTGAACCTTAATTTTGTTTTTCTGCGTCTACTTTTCCAGACACGACGCCCTGAGGCTGGGAAAAGACTTTGCTAAAAAGACCAACTGCTCTGTGAGCGACATCGTCTGCCTGCTGTCTCTCACTCCACAGGCCGTCCTCGCTGCCCAGATGAAAACAAGTAGGGCGCCGCAAAAAAAGCTCACCAAATTTAAAGCAATGCTCAGGGCTTCCCACACAGTTACATAAGAAGGCAGGATATAGTACATTTATCTGAAAAATATGATGAAAAACACAGTTTTTATCCCGAGCCGTGGCATATTGGAAAACAAAATAATGACAATCGAGGAATAGTGGGCCTCTGAAGGGGCAATTAGAGGGATTATACCGCCTCACAGCTCAAAATGACTGTAATATATCTGCAGGGTAGACAGGTTTATTGATCAGTATCACTGACTCTGATTGCGTCATCAGCTGCTGTTTTCTGCCTGCGTGAAATCACTTTCAGGTGCAAAAATGTGGACCGAAAAGATACTGGTGAAAAGTCAATTCAGCTCTTATGGCTTAAAACAAAAAAATATATAAAATATGTATCAACAGCAGGTTTATTATTACAGAATTTTACATTCCTTGTCACTGTCTCATGAATCCATCAAGTCTTGCATCTTTATCTAGTTCAAGCCTGTTGCTCTCTGTTCTCAGACTGCATTTTCAATCTAACTGATGTGTTTTTGACCTCAGGTTCCAAGATTGTGAACCCGTTCAGGTTCCTGGAGGTTTTTGAGACCTGGGGCCCTTACATTGATGGGGAGTTAATAAAAGAGCAAGCTGTCATTGCCTTCCTAAAGGGCCACTGGCAGAAAGAGAAGCCAGTGCTGCTGGGTAAGACACACAAAAACAATAAGCGTAAAATGACCCTTTATTATTATGAAGCGGCCTCTACTGCCACTAATGCTGCTACGGAGTACATTTTGTCAAGTACTGTACTTAAGTACAGTTTTGAGCTACTTAAGTATTTACATTTTATACCACTTATTCTACTATGTTACGTGATTACTTTGATCTGACAGCTGTAGTTAATTTGCAGATTCAGATTTGACAGGGCTGGACCCGAGGCCATGGCAAATAAAGGGGGTGATGAGGCGGCTTTTATAGTGGCTGGGAGCTTGGACCCGGGTGATGAACAAAGAGCAGTCACACACACTGGTAGTCAGTTAGGGCCGGAATAAACTGCTAAGGGGACCCAGACCCAAAGTGAATTGTGGGCTCCTAATCAGACCCCCACACTCCCTTTTGGTGGTTACAATTTGTGAAAATAACAACAAATGCATTTCATTATATTTTACAGGTGTTTATGTTGCTGTATGCAAATAAGAGAAAAGCTTCGGGTAACATAGAAGTCTACTTGTTTCGTGGACTGAGGCTCTGTGTTTTGTCTTCCAGGTACGACCTCAGAAGAGGGGGTGCTCTTTGTGTATGGTGTCTTCAACAAGCCAGTCTCTGCGTTGGAGAGCACTGTGTACATCACAGCCATCTTTAAACAACACACACTGCGGATCCTGCACAAGTACCTGCCCCTGTACAGGGATGCTGACCGCAGGGATATGCTAGCTCAGGTAGGTCGAACTCCATTCACAGTCTTTTCAGTTTCAGCATTGTAACTGATATAAAGTCAGTCTTAGGGCCAAAAAGAATCTAATTTGTCGAGTTTTTGTCATAATGCTTTTCGCGGGTGGAGGACACATTATACTTATCCACAAACCTCTGACATTTATAACAATGAATGATAAATCTTTCTTCCCACTCAAAGCTGAGTACTGAGCCTGAAAAAGTGTGCCCTGCTTCAGTGGTTATGCATAACACATCTCCCTTTGACTGTTTAAAGAGACATTTTTAGCCATGCCAATGGATGCCATCTTTGGTTGGTTGGTCGACTACTTTGGTCCCAAGTGAACCATCTCAATTACTATTGTTGTACACACAGTTGTACTTTGTGTTTAGTGTGAATTAGCAAACGCTAGCGTGTTACCACACTAGACTAAGATTATGAACATAGTTAACATGATAGCATGAGTAGCATACCAATCACTAGAAAATTAAGCTAGGAACCAGGATGTACATGCACCTGAATATCAAAAGACAGTTTTGTCCTTTATTGTGTTATATACCTTTTTTGTGCATGAAATTGGGCTTTTTCACTTTGCAAACCTAAGTCCAGCCCAAAGGGAGTTCCCATCTCCCACAGAAAACACTGCTCCTGAACTGCCTGAAAACGGTTCGATTGTAGTCCAGCCTTTACTTCTGTAAACTGTCATAATATTCGCCTAGCGGCTAGTGTGGCACGCCCTGAAAAACACTGGTGGAGAAACACACTGAGCTGCAGCGCACACAGTGACAAGATGTCTGCCTGCTGCCTTCCCTCTCCCCCACTATCCCTACCAAACACTAGCTACCCTCCAGGCAGTCAGTGAACATAAAGTTGTTACTGTTGTAGAGACAGTGCTTAGTTAAAACTTGCATGAAAAATCAAAATTCAATTGAATAACTTACCGCTCTGAAACTCTTGCTCTGGTCGAGGTTGCGAAGCTCGTTGGCTGGAAGATGTACAGCTGAACCAAAGCCCTGGTTAGGGCTTGTCAGGACCCGCCCTACTCTGCCTCTGATTGGCTAGTAGTCCTTAACTAGGTACTGCACATTTGCAACTTCACGCAAAGATCAAATAGAAGTGAGTGGCATCACTGCATAGCTGAAACAGAGCAAATTTTTTGAATATATAAACATATTCTGGTACAACCCCTATATAAAATTATGAACCTGAAAATAATATGACCTCTTTAAGCTATTCCAAATGACCACACTCAGAGGCGGGTTGAAAAGCAGGGTGCCATAGCCTCCTCCTGCCTCCTATGCAGGCTGTGCACAAAAATTAACAATCTGCTAGCACTATAAATAGTAGCAAAGTTAGCTTTGGGGGGGGGGGGGGGGGCATGTTTTTTGCACTTGCAGCGTTTAGCCATGTTCACAGTATGGCTCTAGGGATGGGAATCTGTCAGTCTGTCCACACATTGACTTTGGTACTTCTGTGAGGTCAAAGTTTCCACTTATTCTGTATACAGTCTGTATCTCTCTATCTCTCTCTCTCTCCCTCCAATTTGTAGTACTTTTTGCACATTCATGGTTTCCAGACAATGAATCCAAGTGACTGTGGTGAGCGCTTTCTCTGGCGCCACATCCTGTTTCTGCCCGAATGCTTGCTAAATTAATGACACTGCCATCAGCATGTTAGCATTATCAGTGTGAGCATGTTAGCATGCTGATGTCAGCCGCTAGCATGGATGTAGATTCTTGTTTTATCGCTGTGTGCCTGTTTCAAGTTTTTATTGCTGTGAAAATACAGAGGTGGACTGGCTCATGATGACACAGCATGAGAAGAAACCCCCCAGCAGTTAGCAGCAGGCTTTTCGATGCATAGCAGGGTGGCCTCCTCGGGGAGCTACAGGGGGTCAGGAGGTGACACTCCTGGACATGTTTAGTATTCAGTCACAGTTTACGGTGCAGTAGGTAGACTGTGGAGTGACAACTATAGCTTACCCTGCTATATACTCACACACACTTCCTGCATCTCTTCATAAAGGGCACTTCTCCAGAGGACTGGGTGGTCAGCACAAATGTCACAGAGCGTGGTTAGAGTTTCTTGGGAAACAAAAGGACATTTCTTCATAGTTAACTGTAGCCACTGTGTCAAAATTATCATTGCTCCATTTGTAAGGAGGAAGTGTATGTTCTACAGTATTTAATAAAAGTGCAACCCATGAGTCGTGAGCAACAATAATAAAAAGCAGTGATTGAAAATATGACACTAAATATGCATACCAGCCATCTTAAAATACATTTTTAAAGAGACTAAAGTCTAATTATGAAAGTCACTCATTTACTGTGCTGGGACAGTGTAATCTAAGCTTTAGAAAAACATTTAAAGTTCATAGAAAAATATTAGTTTATAGAAGGTGACATTACTCATCATAAGCTCTCCGATGGCTGTCGGGAAAGTGTCAGCAAGTTTCCAGCTGTCTAATTTGTGAGAAACCGCGAATGTGCGTAACAACTCTCTGTGAAAAAGGCCTGCTGTAGCGTGCATTACAAGAGCTTTTTCCTCTTAAATATTTTTCTCACACTCACAGACGGAAAAGTGAACACTCAGACACTCGTTCTCCCACACACACTCAAATACACACATGCATTGATAACCACCCATTCAGTGGCTTTGCGAGGCGGGCGGTCACGCATGGATCGATGTCCCACCCAGCCGGAGCTCGGTGTTTAACGAGGACCCAGCTGTCTTCTGTGCTCTCTGCAGCTTCTCTATGTCTAACGAGCCTCTTGTGAGATTGAAAACAATTGTTCTCTCCTGCTGCTGTGATTTGTGTGTTTAACGAAAATGTAATTTCCCCAAGATCAGTGCAGCCAAGGAAACATATGTAGTCTGCATATATTTGGATGCTGCCGTCCAGCTCGACAGCGAACAACATACATAGTCTTGTATAAAAGTTCAGCATTATCACCATCAATCAGCAGACTTACTCCTTGGCTCCTCAAAAGTTTCTATCATTTGCCTACAGAGGGAGCTGCAACTCTAGTTTTCAAGAGTCACACACCACAGCTTTCTTTTCTTCTCCATCATTTATATGTGTGAAACATGTGGACCACCTGGAGTCAGGGAGTTTGTCTGTTTTTGAGATGCAGTTTGACCGCTGCCACTAAGAAGTGACTCCTATCTCATTAACCTCTACAGTGACAGCAAGGATCAGCTGAGGAATGACAGCTGAAATACAAGACAGAGCTGGTTGGCTGTGGAAGAAACACTGACTGGGTGACTTGGCACCCCATTTGTATGTAGTGAGGGTATAGACTAAATATTAAAAAACTCTTAGTTTAATGTAATATAATTCAAAGTCACTACCAACTTCAGGCTGAATTCCATGAAGGTAGACTTGATTGGTGGCATGTTGTCTTAGACTGCATTTATTTTAGCTAGGTGTACATCTTCAGACTGGGTGTCCAGTAGTTCTGGAAAATATCTGTAAAACACTCAAATGTCCTACTTTTCAACATTCACCACTAAATTAAAATGATAATTATAATATTATAATTCCGCACTTAACATGTTTGACTTTCATCGTGACTTTATCGTGTTCTGTCCCCCTGATTATTACCTTTACCCAATATAAAAACATAATAAATGAAAACACGGGTACACTTTAAGGTTCCCGGTCAGGGGGTTTGAAAATATGGTCACCCTAAAGTTGAGACCAAAACGGAGCGAAAAGGAGAGTGAACATATAACTTACATTTGTCAGGTGGCTAGACCACATAGCCAAATAAATTCAGTGCATACATTTTTCTCCTATCGGCTGGTTGTGTAAGCAGGTAACTGTTTGCTAGCATGTAAGCAGTATCAACTTTACGAGGCCATAGTATGTCAAGCTGTGAAGTTCTGCCCACAAGAGGGCAAAAAAAAGGTTTAAGGAATGCTAAAGATAACACAACACTGTTAAAATCCAAAGTATCCGATCAGCTCGTTTTGATTAGAGTAACCATGTCCGGAAAACTTTCACTGCTTATTTGGCACTAGATTAGGCTGCAGTGGTATACATGAACCTAGCCACAGTGTGTGCCTCACGTATTATAATTCCTTTTAAGTATAACTAACGCAGTGCCCGTTGACAGGGGCCAATGTGATGCCTCCCTGCTCTTTTTAGATGCAGTGCAGTGCTTGTTGAAAATGTGCATCTCACACTGGTTTCATCTACAGCATTAATAACACAACAGTGGCGGAGATACTGTTAGATGTTCAGCACTTCCTTAGAACTTGAAAAAACTCTTACAACTCTTTCCACACATTCGTATTCCCCTTAACTGCGTTATTTTATTAATTGTGGTACTGAATATGAACAGTGTTGCCTGCTCAAAAAATAGCTACATGACGTCACACACTAAACTAATTTGCATATTTGTGACATCAATACCTAACTGTTACTACATTATTGCTACAATTATATGAGGTTTTGAAAAAATAAACTTGAAAAAAAAAAAGCTGAAGTCAACTTAACAGACTTTAACTAGATTCTCTCGAATCTATGCTTTTGGAATATGCTGAAGCGGAAAGAGCCATCTGATTGGCTACATATAATTCCCTGTTGGTAAAAATGGATTTGCGGATCGAGCCATGGCAGGGCACACAAATGCAGTGAAGTTCACATGACAAGCAGTTTGTAGATGAAAGTTTGACAGGGCATTTATATGCAAACAGGTTTGCATATAAATGTAACAACGTCCAAGTTTTAAGGTCCACATATTTGGGAATTTCAGTTACATTTATATCAACCAAAATGCATCAGAAATACATTTGTGGACTAGTTTACAACTACAAATATTTTTGTGTGCATTGAAAATTTATACATAAATCCCAAAATACATTTAAGACTAATCTATTTCCACACAGATCGAAATTTGCTTCCCATTCATGTGTGGATTTGCTGACCTTCGCTTTGCGCAGAGTTCAATCCAGTTTGACAGAGTGGGTGGGGCTAACCTCTTGTTCAAGTAATGCCGTTTC